CTGGAGTGCAATGGCGCGATCTCGGCTCACCGCAACCTCCGCCTCCTGGGTTCAGGCAATTCTCCTGCCTCAGCCTCCTGAGTAGCTGGGATTACAGGCACGTGCCACCATGCCCCGCTAATTTTTTTTTGTATCTTTAGTAGAGACGGGGTTTCACCATGTTGAACAGGATGGTCTCGATCTCTTGACCTCATGATCCACCCGCCTCAGCCTCCCAAAGTGCTGGGATTACAGGCTTAAGCCACCGCCCCCGGCGACAAAACCCTATCTTGACAAAACAAAACAAACCCCCAAAATTAGCTGTCACGGTGGCATGTGCCTATAGTCCCAGGTACTTGGGAGACTGAGGTGGGAGAATAGCTTGAGCCCAGGAGGTCGAGGCTGCACTGAACCGTAATCGCACCACTGCACTCTAGCCTGGGTAACACAGTGAGACCCTGTCTCAAAATAAATAAATGGCTAGCCTGGGATCTCTCAGAACTAAGTTGCTAAGACACCCAGGGTGACTCTGGCATGGGTCTTTCTCTCCCAGTGTTCTGATTTCAAGTGCCTGGCCTGCTCAAAGAGTTAAAATCATGCCCGAGTCTTCACAGCCCCCCCCAGGAGGCTGGTCACTCACTGGCCTCCCTCTGCCAAGGACAGAACGCTCCCCCACCCTCAACCAGAAGCCCAGGCTCATCCTCCCAGCTCAGCTGGGGCCCCGAAGAAAGAAGTTAAATCTGTACAAAGTAGGAAGCCAGGACAGCTGGTTACCCAGCGCTCCCCTCTCCCCGAGCCTCAGCTTACTTTTTTGTTATATAAAGCCAAGGATCTCAAAGGTTCTTAAACAGATTCTAAAGCTTTTCACATCAAAGCTCCTCCTTGCCACCACCCCTTAGAGAGGGCAGATCATCTCTCCTGCCTCCTTCCCTCTCTCTCTGCCACCCCTTACTATCTAGCTCCTGCCCGCCTACCCCAGTGGCCCCAATGCCAGAGCACCGGAGTGGGGAGTGGGGCCTGGAGGAGGCATTGAAGGGTTTGTTTCTGCTCCCCTCTCTGTGCAGGCTGCTCAGCAGCCCCTCCCCACTGCTGACTGTGAGGGTTGTGTGGCTGCAGTCATAAAGTGCAGCTGCCGTGAGCTCCATGCCCTACCCTCTGCCTGCTCCAGCAGCTGGGAGCTGGGGCCCCTCTCTGCCATAATCTGCCTGGGAGAACTGGGTGACCTGGGGACCCTCCCACCCCACAGTCACCATCCATCTCAGGTTGGTACACTGTTTGCTCCATCCCAGACACACTGATCCCCCAGGAGGTAGGGAAGGAGGTGCTGGCATGAGGAGGGGGTAGGAGAGGGGATGAGGAGCTCTTTTGGCTCCAGGAAGGAAGCAGCTGGGAGATGATAATTGGAGACCTGTCCGGATGTTGTCCAGAGCCCTAGGAGGGCAGAGGAGGCTGACTGTCTGGCACAAGGAGGAGGGGGTCCTTCTGGCTCAGGCAAGACTAGGTCTGAGCTGTGGAGCTGGGTTCCAGCAGCAAGGCCATGGCAGGATCCACGGGCCTGGGCAAAAGGGGGGCTCTTGGCCTCAGAGGGTCCCCTCCTGCTCACTTGTACCCACTGTGCTGCAGACCTCCGGCTGGTGGTGAGGGTGAGTGGAGGTGGCAGAAGGTTAGGGGTTACAGGAGGCAGCCCTCTGACTGTGGTTGAAGCTGTTTCTCCAGCACCCAGGGAACCCCGACCTCCTCCTGGAGGTATGATTCAGGCCACTCCCCTTCAGCCACACTTCTCGCCACTGTGGGTTGCCAGAAGTACCTCAAGGGCAAGGATTGGGTCCTCTGGAAGATGACCCCAGTGTCCCCAGGCTCACTCTGTCAGGGGCCATTTCACACATTTCCTTCGTATCAAGAAACCCTTTGTACTGTACTCATGCAATATATATTTTTTGTTAACCCAGCTCACTTTGAACTTTAAATTTGCTTAAAAGGAAACTTTATTTCACTACCGTCCCAAGGAACTATATCCATAAAATCACTGGTTTGACTTTCTAGTTGGGGCTTTTTCTAATCCTTATGAAAATAAAGGTATTTAAAAAAAATAAAATAAAAGAGGCTGAGCATGGTGGCTCACACCTGTAATCTTATCACTTTGGGAGGCCGAGGTGGGTGGATCACCTGAGGTCAGGAGTTCAAGACCAGCCTGACCAACATGATGAAATCCAGTTAAAAAAAAAAAAAAAAGCTGTGTGTGATGGCTCCCTTTTTTTTTTTTTTTTTTTGAGACAGAGTCTCACACTGTCTCCCAGGCTGGAGTACGATGGCAGGATTTCAGCTCACTGCAGTCTCTGCCTCCCGGGTTCAAGTGATTCTCCTGCCTCAGCCTCCCGAGTAGCCGGGATTACAGGCACCCATCACTACGCTCGGCTAGTTTTTTGTATTTTTAGTAGAGACAGAGTTTCACTATGATGGTCAGGCTGGTTTTGAACTCCTGGCCTCATGATCCACCTGCCTTGGTCTCCCAAATTGCTGGGATTACAGGTGTGAGTCATTGCACCTGGCCTGTGGCCCACACTTTTAATCTCAGCACTTTGGGAGGCTGAGGTGGGGGAATCACTTGAGCCCAGGAGTTTGAGGCCAGCCTGGGCAACATAGCGAGACCCCATTTCTAAGAAAAGGAAAGAATTCACTGGGCATTATGGCATGTGCCTGTGGTTCCAGCTACTTGGGAGGCTGAAGTGGGAGGATCTCCTGAGCCCAGGAGCTTGAGGCTACAGTGGGCTATGATCACACCATTGCACTCCAAGCTGAGTGCCAGAGCAAGACCCTGTCCCCCCAAAAAGAGAAAAAGGAAGGAAGAGAAGACAAGAAATAATGTTCTTCCCAAAGTCATCTCTCATGTACTTGGACCTTCTTTTGGGGAGCAAAACAGAGGATGGTGACCGTGGTAAGAGGGACCACCCTAGACCCAGGGCCACACTGGTGAGACCAGCCAGTCCGTGAGGAAGCCCACACGGTGCCTTGTGGTACTGTCAGTGCTCACTCAGGCAACGGTCATCGCGGAGAGCCTGGTGGTACAAATGTAAGAAATACTGAGATTAAATCAGGCCTCTACCACTCAGTGTTGCTTTACGCTGGTCACTGGACTTCTCTGAGTCCTGGTAGCCATTTCTTAAATGGGGACCATGCCAGGCGCGGTGACTCACACCTATAATCCCAGCACTTTGGGAGGCCGAGGCAGGTGGATCACCTGAGGTTAGGATTTTGAGACCAGCCTGGCCAACATGGGGAAACCCTGTCTCTAAAAAAAACAAAAACAAACAAACAAACAAAATGAAATGGGGACCATGATAACACCCACCTGATGAAGTGTAAGGAGGCACGGAGGCCATGAGGCAGGTGGTCAGGCCCTGGTGAGCTGCGGCTCTCGTGCCCATGGAGCCCTTCTTTCCTTGGTTTGGGTGGGAGGTGCTGGGTCCTCTCAGGCTCTGTGCCCATGATGGACACACCCCAACCATAGCCCAGGGAGGGCTGTGTGTGTGTGTGTGTGTGTGTGTGTGTGTGTGTGTGTATGTTGGGGGCGGTGGCTTTTCTTGAAACCTGGCTGAATCTCCTCTTTCCTCTGTGGCTGGGCAGGGGGTGGCAGGCCTGGCATCTGTCCACAGACCTCCTGACAGAGGAGGCTTGTGACGAATCTGGCTGGGTCCCAGTGTTTCCAGCCGGGTCCCCTGTTGCCCTGGGTTGCCCTCGGAGGAGCCCCGTGAGTCAGGCCACACCGAGGGCAGGAGTGCATATGTCTGCTGCAGCACCTGATGCCCCAGTCCTAGGCCACACGTGGGGGGCTGCGTTGGGGCTGGTGGATTGTGGGTGTGCAGGAGACGCTGTGCTTGTCTCCCTATGGGCTGACTTCTGGGGGGACAAATCTATGCTTGATGCCCAGGAATATGGCTGAGGTATGTCCCTAGCAACTCCTCCCACCCCCAGGGGCAGGGGTGACTTCTGGAACCCCTGGCCACTGGCCACTGAGGCTGGAGGGTGCAGGACAGCAGGGCTGGGCCTGGGGAGGCCAGGAACTCAGGGATGGTGGGCATCTGGGAAAGGGATTCAGAGTTCCGTGAGGGACCTCAACCCCCGGCCTTCTCTTTCTTTCGCTTCTGTGTTGTCCTTTGTCCCCTGTGCGTCTCTTATGGGTCTTGAGCTGTGTGTGTGTTGAGAGGGACTGAAGAAGGGAGGGAGAGGTGGGGGGAGGCCCCGGGGAAGGCCTTCACCTGTTCTGTCTGCTTTCTTTCTCCTTTGAGTTTGTTCCAAATCCATCTCTCACTGTCCTCTCTGTGCCCAGCCTCTCCTGTCTGTCCATCTGTCTGTCTCTGGGGAGGGAAGGGAAAGGGGGTCCCACTACCCCAGGCCCTGGGCTTCCATCTCCTTGGGAAACCTGGGAGCAATGTTTGCCCTCATTCTCCCCCTGTGTCCCTGCCCTGGCACTCTTCCCGGCTGGCCCCCAGCCTTGAGGATAAGTATGTCCTTGACACGCTAGTCTGAGGGAGGAGGCAGGCCTCCCCCCACCCAACCTCAAAGGAAGACTACAAGCTCTTTTTCACATCTTTTAGGAATCATCTAAAAGGCACCCCCCCCCCCACTTCCCTCACCTGCTGGCACCAGCTTTAGGAGGGTGTGTGGCTGGAGAGGGTCTCAGGACACCTTCTACCCCTTTCTTCCAAAACCCTTCCTTTGGCCTCAAAGGGAGCACTCCCTGACGGTCATTATCACCCCAAACCCACGGAGGAGGAGCAGAAAGTATCCAGCCCTTGATCCTCACCCCTCCCTGGAGGCCATAGGCCCACTTTCCACGCCATCCACCCTCCTCCCACTTCAGCCCCTAGCAGGGGCTGGGCGGCCCCTGCCTCGCCCCAGGCGCCTCTACACTCCCCTTAGACCCAGGCCCCGCCCCTCCCCGCAGGGACCCCCGGTGGGGGATGGGCAGCCCCAGGCCCGGCGCAGCCTTGACCCCGCCGCGCCCCTGTCACCTCTCACAGATCCGGAGCGGAGCAGCCCCCCCATGCTGTCTGCGGACGATGCCGAGTACCCGCGGGAGTACCGGACCCTGGGGGGCGGGGGCGGCGGGGGCAGCGGGGGCCGGCGCTTCTCCAACGTGGGGCTGGTGCACACGTCCGAGCGGAGGCACACGGTGATCGCGGCCCAGAGCCTGGAGGCGCTCAGCGGGCTCCAGAAGGCGGACGCCGACCGCAAGCGCGATGCCTTCATGGACCATCTGAAGAGCAAGTACCCGCAGCACGCCCTGGCCCTGCGAGGCCAGCAGGACAGGATGCGAGAGCAGGTGAGTGGGCGACCGGCTGCGGCTGCCACTGCGGACGCGGCCAGCGGACAGGGGAGGGGGTCTGACCCCGCGCTCCGTGCTCCCAGGCTCATTCCAACTCTGGGAGGCATCTGGGGCAGAGAGGGGAGAAGGGGAGGAGTTGGGAGCTGTCCCTCCAGGGCAGTGGCCCGGGTTGGCCTTTTCTGGATCCTGGGGAGGAAGGGGTGGGGGCTTGGCCTCCAGACCTCTCCCTGCAGTCCGGAAATTGAGAGCGTGTGTTGAGTTAAAGAGCCCAGCCTCTTTAACTCAGGCTGTTTGGGCAGAACCCTTCTGGGAGGGAAGGAGAGGACAGCCTTGAGGACTGATGTTCTGTGCCTGAGTCCATCTGGTGGTGAGATTGAGATGCTGGGGTCCGCACCTCTGTGATACGGTCCCTAAGAGAGGGGGGGGCCTTGAGAGTCTCGGTAGGCTGGGTCTGAGGTGTCCCCAGTCTCTGCAACCTGCAAGAATGGAGCCCGGAAGTGGAGCCTTTGACCTCTTTCGTCCCTGTTCCACCCCGTGACTTGCTGGGTGACTTGGAGCTGGAGGCCTCCTCTCTCCGTTCCTGGGTCTCTCACCTGCCATCAGTAGAGCTTAGAGAGGAAGCTCAGGGCCTGTCTCTGGACCAGGACCTGTCTCTTTCTATAGCAGGTGGGATACTTTTTTTTTTTTTTGAGGCAGAGTTTTACTCTTGTTGCCCAGGCTGGAGCACAATGGCGTGATCTTGGCTCATTGCAACCTCTGCCTCCCTGCTCCAAGCAATTCTCCTGCCTCAGACTCCCGAGTAGCTGGGATTACAGACATGCGGCACCACACCCCACTAATTTTTGTATTTTTAGCAGAGATGGGGTTTCTCCATGTTGGTCAGGCTGGTCTCGAACTCCCGACCTCAGGTGAACCACCCGCCTCGGCCTCCCAAAGTGCTGGGATTACAAGTGTGAGCCAGCATGCCGAGCCCAGAATGCTTCATTTTTAAACCTCTCTGAGACCCTCCGGGTCCTGAATGCATCTCTCCACCCATGGGTGGGCTTCTTGTCTGTGAGATGCTTTCTGGGTCTAGCATACTGTGTACAGTTCTGCACTGGTGAGGCGCCTGCATGGTTGCTGCATATTGGCTACTGAGACTTAGCCATCGTCCCCTCCGGGTGAAGGGACTGAGGGAAGGCACTCACATCCCATCAGCAGTCTTTCAGTCCAACCTGGGGATGTGTCAGTCCCTGCTCCCACACCTGTCTACACTGCCTCCCTTTTCCGGGTTCTACTGGATGTAGCTGGGGATGGGGAGGAGTGTCCCCACTCCCATCCTTGGGTGCAGGGAACAAGACACATTGGCACATTTCTGGTACCTTATCTGCCTCCTAGTGCCACTTCCAGTTCTGTCTGGCTTTTGCCTTTCCCCAGCTCCAAAGTCCTTCTGGGAGCAGGATGCAGATCAGGATTAGAAAGAGTCGATGAAGATGTGGCACTCAGCCTCAGGGAGCCCCTCTCATTGGGTTCTCCCTGTGTACACTGGCTTGGGGAGAAGGGCAGGGGTATTTGTCATCTAGCTGGGGATGGGAACAGCCAGTTGGGAGGGGTTTAAAGGACAGAAGATCAGGTAGGCAGTCCTGATCAGGGAAGGCTTCCTGCAGGAGGAGGTATCTAAACTGGGCTTAGAAAGATGAAAAGGGAGGCCGGGCACGGTGGCTCACGCCTCTATTCCCAGCACTTTGGGAGGCCGAGGCAGGTGGATCACGAGGTCGAGAGATCGAGACCATCTGGTCAACATGGTGAAACCCCGTCTCTACTAAAAATACAAAGATTAGCTGGGCATGGTGGCACATGCCTGTAGTCTCAGCTACTCGGGAGGCTAAGGCAGGAGAATTGCTTGAACCCAGGAGGCGGAGGTTGTGGTGAGCCGAGATCGCGCCATTGCACTCCAGCCTGGGTAACAAGAGCGAAACTCCGTCTCAAAAAAAAAAAAAAAAAAAAAAAAAAAGATGAAAAGGGTTTGCATAGGGTTAGAGGAAGAGAATGCTGTTTCAGGAGTGGTGGGGTGCATGGCACGAGCATAGGCCTGGGTTGGTTTGGAAACTGGCACAGAGGTCCACGTGGCTGGTGAAAAGGCTCAGGTGGGAAGTAGTGGGACACGTGGGGGCAGACTGAAAAAGTGGGGCAGATGGTGGTGGCTAGGATGGCTGTGGTTGCTTTGGGACGGGGAATAGGAGGGGAGAAGCGGGGCTGGAGGCAGGGGAAGGAGAAGACAGAGTGTCTCAGGGACGATGAAGGGGGAAGGACGATGGGGGTTGGGAGAAGACGAAGCCCAGGTCTAAGGCTAAGCTGCCTGGGCCTAGAAGAAGGTAATGACAGAAAAAGCTGGGTGACTGGGAGATGTCGGTGCCTTGGAGAGAAACAGGAGGGCTGGAGGGAAAGGTCTGAAGGGGAGAGGAATATGAGGAGATGGTTTTGAGGCATGGGCAGGGCATTCTTGGGGACGCCTTTAAGGCGCCACATGCACCAGTCAGGACTCCAAAGAGGCCGAGGCTTCAGGAGGAGAGTTGAGCAGTCACAGCAGATACGAAGTGCACCCAGGATGCGGAGTGGTCATCAGGGCGGAATGGGGTCTAAGAAGGGAGAAAGCCATGATGTTTGGGGAAAGGGGACCAGGAGTGTTCTGTATCTATGGGGAAGTCCCAGGGGAAAAGGGCCCCTGGACAAGGGGCCAGCAGGAGGGTGACCAGTGCTTCAGAAGTCCAAAGGGATGGGGAGAGAGAAGCCAACATGGCTACTGGCCAGGACCCACGGGCACAGAGGGCACCGAGAGCTTGCGTCTCCTGGTGTGGCGAAGTCATGGGCAGTTTCAGGGGTTGTGGAGATTGGGGTTGGTGGAGGATCGGCAGCCCCAGCCACAGACCTGTTGTGGGGAGATCTGGCCAGGAAAGGGATGACAACAGCCGGGCGGAGCTTCCAGGGGCAGCAGGCCTGGGAGGGAAGGTGTAGGCATGTCGGAGGGCCTCCTGTGTTCTGGCATGTTCAGCACAGAGTGCGGAACTCAGTGAATACTTAGGAAATGAATCAAAGCCCAGCCACCCACAATTTCATTCCTTTCTTCTTTCACTCATTCGCTTCCCCCCTTAGAGTATAAGTGGGCAGGATCTATGCCCCATTCACTTGCCAGGGAATGCTCGGTGCCTAAGCATGGCGCCAGCTCGGGCAGTGTTTGCGGAATGAATGAGAGATGAGGGAGGAATGAATCTGAGGACACCAAGAGGAAAGAAGCCCGTGGGAAACAGGTCCTAGAGGAGTCTGGAAGGATGGTCTTAGGTGCGGGGTGGCCTTGGAGAAGGAAGGAGGTGGAGTCACTTCCGCTAAGAAACAGGAGAGAAAGATGTGCTGTAGGACTGAGGCACCTAGGGGGAGGTCTCTCCTGCCCAGCGGTCCCCATTTCTGTGAGGTAGGTAGTGACACCTTCAGTGAGAAGGGATGAAAGCAGGGGAAGGGGAGATGGTAAGGAGCGGCTTCCTTGCCAGTATGCAGAGGGGCAGCCTAGAATTGGATACGAGGCAGGGCATGGTGGCTCACACCTGTAATTCCAGCATTTGGGAGGCTGAGGCAGGTGGAATGTTGAGCCCAGCCCAGGAGTTTGAGACCAGCCTAGGCAATGCGGCTGTCTCTACAAAAAGAATTTGTTTTAATTAGCTGGGCATGGTGGTATGCCCCTGTAGTCCTAGCTACTCAGGAGGCTGAGGTAGGAGGATCACTTGAGCCTGGGAGATTAAGGCTGCAGCAAGCCGTGATCATGCCACTGCACTCCAGCCTGGGTGACAGGGTGAGAACTTGTCTCAAAAAAAAAAACCAAAAAAAAAAAAAAAACCTGGAGATGCGGATTTCAGGAATGTCTGATAGGGAAAGCCCTGCCCTGGGCTCAAGGAACCCCCAGGTCTAACATGAAAGGCAGCCATCCAGAAACAGGATGGGCTCTAGTTAGAGAGAGACCCAGCCTAAGTAAGGGACTTGCCAGCATCATTAGACCCGTCTGCAGTATGAGCTCTGTGCCGAGGCTTGCCCCAGGTGTGCACTCCCTCCCAGTCCCAGTCCCCCAGCGGCTCCTGCCCGCTTCCCCTAATGGGGTGTCCCCCCACCCGCTTCGCACACACAGGTTGGCGGCTGGACCGTGGACCCCGTGTGCCTTCTCAGCTCCCTCTGCTCCCACCTCCACGGCGACTCCGCCCCCTCCGGGGCTGGCCAGCCGGCCCAGGTGAGTCACCCACCTCCACCCCACCCCCCAAGCCCATGGTGGAGTTTGGCTTTGGGGAGGATTTTTTTTTTTTGGAGGGGGGATGTTCAGGATTTTTATTTTCAACCTTTTCTCTTTGGTGTAGGAGCCCCTATTTTCAGGAGACTCCTATGCCCCGTACTCACATCTGCCTGATCGTCCAGTCCCCTGCCACTTCCTCCCCACGCCTGGTTGGCTTTGGAGCAGGAGTTTTTGAGGGAGGATAATCAGGATTTTTTAAAAAAGTTTTTGCATCCCTTTCTCCTTTAAACAGGAGTCCCACGACCTTGCTCTGTAGGTTTCATGCCCTCCTCTCACTGAGGACCATCTTACTCCCCTCTCCACACCCTCCCCTTCCATTTCTGAGCAGACCCAGCCTTCCCCTGATGTGCCACCATCAGGACGTTCTGCATGAAGTCTCTCTCTCATCCTTCTTGCTAAGTTCATGGCTTAGTCTCTAGTTTTTAAGAGGACTTGGGCATCAAGCCATCTGTCCTGAACTTGTTCTCCTCTTCCTCATCAAGCTTCAGTGTCCTTCATGGGAGTATAGATCTTAGCTTAGACAGGGGAACATGCAGGCTGGATACTAGGGGCCTGGGTTCATGGATAGGCCTGGACATGGCTATGGGAGAAAAATAGGTATCTGAGGCCCCAAATAGGCATCACAGTTGCATTGGGAAGGGGACAGCCCAGGGGAGGTCTTGGCTTGAGGCTGTGAGGCTGTTCAGCTGTAGGAGGCGGAGGAGGGGTAGTGGCAGGGAATCCGGAGGGAGGAGGCGGAGGAGGGGTAGTGGCAGGAATCCGGAGGGAGCAGAGCGCTCAGGTCCTCACATTCCCTGCTTCCCGCAGAGGACAAAAAGGCTTGGCTTTTTCAAGGGGAATTAAGAGAAAGAAAATTGTGACCAGCTAGGAAGTGACAGGCTTTCAGAGGGAGGACGTTTTAGCTGAGTGCAATGCAAGTCTAGTAACAGGTTGGCACGCTTGGCATCACAGGGCACTCAGCCCAATTTCATTCCCAGTTCTCAAGCCTCATCTTGGCCGAACTTTGGGGCCAAGATGGGGCTTGAGGGCAGGACAGGGATGTGTCTGCCCCCAAGGCTGGATAGCAAGTGGGACAGACTTGTCCTGAATGGCCAAGTGCATGGTGGAGACCAAAGTGGGGCTGAGACAGGGATGGCCATAGGACAGACGACGGATATGATACGCATGGGCAGGTTGGGGTGCCTTGGCTGCCCAGAGGTCCTCCCCACATGGAGCGTCTTGGGGCTGTGATAGGGGTTGGGTGATGGACAGGAGTGAGGCTGGACTTGGTGAGCTCAGTTGTCCCAGGTCAGGGGGTTGGGGGGCTGGGGATTTTGGCCTGTCCACATCTGGGATCTGCTCTGATGGGGGAAGGGGGAGTACTTGAGCAGACCTTCCTCCGGGTGCTCTGTAATTAACCAGGAAAGTGTCTGTGCATGGGATCTTGTCATCACTTGATACTTGTCGCATTCCCTGCCCCTAGGGCTGAGTCTGAGGTCTCCTTTTGTCAAGTTCAGGACCAGAGACTTTGGAAAGGCCAGAACCACACAGCAGGGCAGGATCAGAGGCCATCTAGGAAACTTAGGCAACCCAGGCCTCCCAGCCTTGGCTAGGGATTAAGCCACGGGAGAGTTAAAAGGGCAAAGGTGCACAGTGAAGACCCGGGTGGGGAGAGGCTGTGGGCTCTAAAGGTGTTACAGCAGGAGGCAGAACACTGTCCCCTCCCTGACCCTCCACCAGGCGGGACCTTTAGGGATGGAGGCAGTGAAGAGGATCCTGGGAGGGGACCAGAGGTTGGACTCCAAGCCACAGCCCCTCCCCCGGCTTCCACCAGGCTGTCTAACCTCCCTCCCTCCTGCTGCAACCCGAGTCCTGGGCGCTGGGCCGGCATATCGGGTGACCGCGGCGACGCAGCCACCAGCCTCCGCCGCTCCTCTGCGGGGCTGCGCCGGCGGGGCCGCGCCGGGGGAGGGGGCTGCGAGAGGGGATGTGCACGGCAGCGCGCCGCGCCGCGCCAGGTGGAGTCGCGGTTACCGGGGCGACCGGGGCCCGGGCTGGCTCGGCGGCGGCCGCGGCGGCTCTCGCATTGCAGCAAAGGGCACCAGCGGCGGCCGCGGCTGCGGAGGCGGCCGGGGGAGAGAAGAGCCCGGGCGGGTGGGTGTAGGGGCCGCCCTCCCTGCCCTGCCCGACGCGGGACCTGGGACTGGGGGCCCCGCACGTACACCTGTGGCCGCAGGTAAGGGGGAGCGCCTGTGGGGGCCCGGGATCGCCGCCTTGGGTTGGGCGGGGGGCGGGGACACGGAGATGCGGCCCGCGGTACCGAGAGCCATTCAGGGGTGGGGGACGCCCAGGCCATTGCGGGTTCCCTATCCCTGAGAAACGCCTCTTCCCCTCCCCCACCGCATTAGGTGCCTTCAGTGTGGGCCGGCCCCCACTCCAAAATCAGGCTGGCGCCCCCTCCCCCAACCTCGAAAAGTCATGACCTTCCCGGGGTGCGCCCTCTCCCCCAGCACAGCGCAGGTCCCGCAGCACCCCCCACCCACACACACACACTCAGCATTGGGAGGGAGATGAGGGAGACATCCATGCACCTGGAGGAGAGGGTCGTGCATGTACGTCGCGGTAGGGGCAGGCGCCCGAGGTGGGGGGGGCGAGTGGCTTAGCGCCAGCCCAGGGGACGAGTGTTTACACGGACTGGGACTCGTGTTCATGGGAGTTGAGAGGTGGGTGTGTACACCGGTGCAGCAGAGCCAGGGGATTAAGAAGCCGGTGCGGACCGTGGGTTGTCCTCCCTCCTTGGAGGATGCGGGGTCGGGGCTTGAGGTCAAGGAGGGGTCATGCGCTCACTGAACCTGCTGGGGATGCCCGCCCAGGGAGGAAGGAGACCTCAGCTGGCTGGGCCAAGCCTCCCCAGGGGCCCTAGGCCCTCCTCTCCCAGGGCGCAAGGGCTAAGGGGGGAAAGAACAGCGGGGTGGGGAGGTGGGGGAGAAGGAAGAACCCTGGCTACCAGTGGCTAGGATGGAGGAGAGAGAAAGGGAGTTAACTCCTTAGCCCCCAGAGGGAAGAAGCTGTGTTTTCTTCTCACCAGGGAGTTTGAGGACTCCCCGGCCTGGCTTCCTTGGGCCTTGAGAGATGCTCCTCTCCGCTGTTTCTCAGAGCCTGGTCCCTAGGGTCATATGCTTCCGTCTTACCCTCTTAAGACACCTCTCATTTTGCCCCAGCTCCGTTAAGATTCTTCCCCACAAGTGGGCCCCTGATGGGGTCTCCCTTATTCACCCCTTTCTTGATTTCCCCCTTTCACTGTCTTTTGGGAAGGTGAGGCCCCCTCCCTGACTGTGGGGGTGGGAGACAGCTTTGGCACTGGAAGAGTTGGCTTGGGGTGGACAGCCAGACCTTTCCTGGCCCTACCCGCGCTCTGCCCTCCCAGCTTGGGGATTTCTGGTGCTGGGAAATTCCCAGGGAAAAGGCCCAGGAGGCTGAGCAGTGCTGGGTGCCAGGAGATGGAGGGAGTGGTGCCAGACCAGAGTATTCAGAGATCCCACCCTCCTCCTGTGGCTCTGTCCTATTTTGTTGACATTCATTCATACACATACTTGTTGAGTGCCTGCTAGCCACCAGGCACTGTATTGGCACAGCAGGAGGAACAGACACCCCGGAAAGGGGTGAGGAGGTAAAGCTACTGGAAGTTGGAAGGGGAGTGACTGGGAATGGCCCACCTTAGAGAGCAGGGGAAGAGCCCTTTGCTCTCAGTCACCCTAGTCTGTCCCATGGGTTAAAATCCTGGAAAGGGACAGAGAAGGGGATGGACAATATCCCCAGAGGCCTCCCCCACTACAGTTTCTCTCACCAAAGACACTGAGTTGCCAAGGGACTGTGTCTCGTTCCTGGTGGGGCCAACATGAAAGAGAAGCATTCTTCCCACTCTCTGGAGGGAGGACAGAGGACGGAGGGCAGGATTCATCAGAGCCCGAAGTTCCAGGATTTTGATCTCAACATCGCTAGTGCATCCAGGTGACCAGCACAAGCACGGTTCCTCTTCCCTCTTTATCCTTCGAGGAGCTTGGCTGGCCTTTCCTATGGCACTGATGCCACCCAGTCCTCTCCTTTGGCTGCCGCTAGTGACCCATCCCTTCTAGGTGACTGCCCCATGGATATGCACAGCCTTGGGACCATGGGGCAGGCCCATGTGGAGGCCATAGCCAGTGTGGCTGTGGCCAGGCCCTGTCCTTACCTCCCTCCCAGGACCACGAGGGGGGCCCCAGTCATCCGAACAAGGTACCTGAGTCTGTTGACATTGGTGGCAGGGTGGGGGACAGGATATCTTGTATTTCTTTTGAATCAGAGGTTACCTCACTGACTCATAATATCTGGGACATCATAGGCATGGGACAGTGGCACCCTGACCTGGGGTTTTCTCTTTGTACATGGGTGGCTCTGAGGCCGTGTATGTGTGTGTGTGTGTGTGTGTGTGGTACATGCATTGCTTTGTGTGTGTTTTGATAGCCCGGGTGTGTGTCTCGCTGTGAGTGGGCACCCGTGTCTCTGTTTCTGTGACTGTGGCGTTTTGAGGGTGAGTGTGAATGCCATCAGCACCTCTCCTGCTCTGTGACTGACTGGTGCTTGTGAGAGTATGAGAGCAAGGCAGGGGTCTTGGGGGAGGGGAACACGTTTGTGTGTGAATGGGGGTGGTCTATGTGTGAATGTCTCAGTCTCTGAGTTTCTGTTTGTTTCCGGGGGGCTGTCTCTGACTGGGGAGCCCCTCCCTCAGTTGGGGTGCATGTGTGTTGCTCTGGGTGTGTCTGCGGAGATGTCCTTATCGGAGGATGTGTCTGAGAGTCTGCTCGGCTGTGCGTGAGCCTGTGTGTTGTGGGAGCTGTGGGTGGCCCATGTGTGTGCCGCCCATGCCCAGTGTCATGGTGGTGGTGGCTGAGGGACTCGAGGCCTCTCTGCAGAGCCGTCCATCACTGCTAGGTCTGCAGATGTGACTCTCCTCATAAACCTTCCGGTGCCCTCTGCCTGCCTTCACATGTCTGCTCCCTGTGCTACCCCTCCTCTTCCCCAGGCCCCAGGCAGCTGCCACTGGAACGTGTTTCTCAGTTCCGGGCCTTCCTACCCTTAGTACCTGCAGGCGTCCCTCACACCACTGGGGGTGGCCTCAGTCCATAGATGATTCCAGGAATTGGCTGGGACACAGACTTTGCTGTCCCCCTCTCCTGCCTGGCATGTGTCTGGTTTCTGTTTGTTTTCTAGAGTAAATGGTGGGGGAAGGATGGGGATGGTGGCTCAGGAGGGGGTGGTCCTGGCAAATGACCCTCTTGGTCCCAGCCCCAGCCCAGCATCACCCCCACCACCCCAAAGGTCTGCCTTAGGTAAAGCCTCTAGCCGGAGTGCCCCTCTACTCAGCCCCTCCCACTTCTCCCTGCCAGGAAGGCCTTCGGGTGGCCCAGGACAGCCTGGCATGGTGTTCTTCCTCCATGGGCACCCTTGATGTCCCTCTCCTCTGCCAGTGGCTCTGAGGCCTGGGGATCTTGTCTGCTCGTGCCAGGCACCCCAGGGGCAGGCCATCTGCTGCCTCTCTCTCCCTGCTGAGGCTGGCACCGGTCAGCAGGGTGCCTCGGCTTTGCCAAGAACCAACTCAGCCCCAGAGCTGCTCCCTCCTTGTCCTAAGCCATCTGGAAGGACCTTCTGGTCTCTAGGGAAGGCATGGCGACCCTGGGTTACTGAAATGAGGGAGACTCTCCAGCTCCCCATTCTAGGAATGCTAGGAGGGATGCAAGGAGCCCTCCTGAATCTGCCAGCCAGCCACGGTCCCCAGTCTCCCCAGCCCCCTTCACTGCCCCCAGCTCCCCAGCCGTTGATTGCCCAGCGAGTGAGGTTCCTGGCATCTGGCCCCTCTGCTCTGTAATCTACATCCATCATGCTGCATAGGCCGCTGTCTCTTGGCCTTGGCCCCCAGCCTCTCTCCTCTGACCCCTGCCCCATCCACCTGCCCCACCCCATCCACCCCTGCCCCAGGGCCTAGTGATCCCACTCTGCTCCATTCAGACGCTTGTCCACGCACTTAAGTCTAAGTACTTTCTCTCAACACTTACGGCCACTCATCAACTGGCCTCAGCCTCCCGCTCTGCCACCTTTGCAGCCTAATCTGCTACTTTCCTGGCTGCACCCCAGCCAACGTGGCCTGGTGCCTTTCCTCAACCCTCTCTCCACTTGTCTGCCCCTGGGCACTTGCCCACGACGTCCCCGCTGCCCAGTCTCCAGCTGCTCATTTTTCCAGACCCACCTCAAATGCCACCTCTTCCAAGCACGGTTCCCTAGCCTGCCATTTCTCTGACCCCACAGCTCAGCTTTGGCGCTGCCTCCTTTTTGACTGCCTCATGGGTTCGCTCTATCACTGTCCTCCGTGCCTTTTCCCAGTGGTCACTCTGCGAGGAGTCACTGTAGCACCTGCTCGGGGCCGTCCTGGGCGCTCCGGGTCTAAGTAGAGAATGGAAACAGGAGAGAATGGATGTGCCAGGCATGACTTCCTTCCTGCTCCTGGGAGGGTGGAGGGCCCATGTCCCAGGGCTGAGTCCCCTCTTTTCCCCTCCCAGCCCCCTCATAACCATCTCTTCTCTTATTTCCATCAGCAGCCAAACTACTGGAGTTTCAAGGTCAGTGTGTGATGCCTCTGCTTCCATGACATCTGCATGTGCTGTCCCTCCCCTGCCCCTGCCCCCCCTTGCACAGGTTTTGCACCGGGTGCGCGTCTGCACGGGCACCTTCTGGTGTGGGCGGTGGGCCTTTGGGCTGCAGGCTGTGGCTGCTGCTTTGGGAGAGTTGGGTTCGCCCATCAGGGGCTTGTGGATGGAGTGGGAGTTGGGGCCACCCCTGCTGGGGATCTGGGCTAGAGATGCTCAATTCCTGGGGCATCCCCACCCTGTGAGGGGCATTTTTGAATGACATTTCCTCCAGCCTGGAGAGATTGCTGGCTCTGAGTTAGGGACCTAGACCCTTGCTGTGGGCTCAGTTCTTTGAATTCAGATCTGACCTCCCAGGGAGGCCCTGTGACTGTGATGGGCTCCTCTTCCTCTCCTTACTCTCCACCATGGGGGCTGGTCAGTGCTAGGCAGGAAACTCATGGCCCTGCACCCTCAAGCCTGCTGTCTAAGTGGAGGGCTAAGCTCAGGGTTAGGTGTCTTCCTGCCTCCTCCTGGGCTCTGGCCTTTCCAGAGCTGAGAGAGCTGTCTGCCCCTCCAAGAGTATCCTGCTGACTCCCGGGGGAGCACCCTCAGGCACCTCTTCCATCTTCCCTGGCACCCAGGCCCAGAGCTGAGCAAACCAAGTGAGACTGCTGCTTGCCTCCTGGAGTCTCAGGCCTCCCAAGTCCCAGCATCTTGACAGTGGGTGGGAGGCATCCCTCCCAGACTCCCCAGGTGTCTTATTCGCAATGCATTCTTCCTAGCACTGCAAGAAGTCCTTAAATCAGAGAGTCATGGAGTCAGAGGAGTCCTGGTGTTGAGCATAGCCTCTTTGGAGAAGGCAGTCGAGGGTCGTGGTTCAGTGCATGGGCCCAAGAGCCAGGCTGCATGGTGGCGAATTCCATCCAGTCTGCTGCTAACTAGCTTGGTGACCTGGGGCGTGTTACAGATCCTCTCAGCCTCAGTTTCTCCTCTGCAGAGTGACAATGTCTGCATCATAGAATCGTTGTAAAGATAGGGAGAAAAGGCCAGATGTGCTGGCTCCCACCTGTAATCCCAGCACTTTCGGACGCTGAGGCGCGTGGAACAGTTGAGCCCAGGAGGTTGAGACCAGCCTGGGCCAGGTAGTGAGCACTCGTGTCTACAAAGAAAACTTAAAAAATCAGCCTAATGTGGTGGTGCACACCTGTAGTCCCAGCTACTCTGGAGGCTGAGGTGGGAAGATCACTTGAGTCTGGGAGATTAAGGCTGCAGTGAGCTATGATCACGCCACTGCATTCCAGCCTTCCAGCCTGGGTGACGGAGTGAGGCCTTATCTCAAAAAAAAAAAAAAAAAAAAAAAAGGGAAGGGAGGGAGGGAGACCAAAACAAACACACAAACAAACAAAGACGTGATGCATGTTCCAGGCAGTGCTGGCTCCTGGTGAGCCCAACCTGGTAGCTTACCTCATTAGCTACTGAATCATGGACTCTGCCTTGATTCTTAAACCTAGAAATCAGAATCACCTTAGGAACTTGTCGAAAATCTCAAGCCCAAGCTCCAACTCCCAGAGATTCTGGTTCAGTGAATGTGGGGTCCTGGAAAACATGTTTTTAAAAGCTCCCAAGTGATTCTTCCCTAGTCTATGTCCAACCTTTGGAATTTCGGATCCACGAGCTGCTCCCTAGAACATTCTGGTGACAGGCGCGCTCTACCTCCCATGTAGCCCCTGTCCTATCTTTGGAGAGCTCTGCTTGAATCACTGTTTTGTTCTTCTGCCATCTCCCTTATGGTGGGGAAGTCCTTCTGGATGTCTCACTTTCCTCTGCCCTGTTGTCTCAGCCCAAGTATGGAGAGAAGCGCCAGCAGGTTTTCCCTCTTCTTGAGAGGGTTTTCTGTACAGGCTGTGAGAAAGCAAAGGTGTCCATGGGGCTAGGAAGTGATGGAACAGGGAACCTGGGCATCTCTTCTCCCAGGGTTTCTGCCTTCTTGGCGGGTGACAACCCCCAGGATCCCTGCCCCGCCTCCCTTCATTCGGACCCCTGTTCCTTCTCCTTACTGGCACCTCACTGGTGTCCCCCCTGGCACCATGGCCACCCTTTACTCTTCATCACTGCTGGCTGCCTCATGCTGCCTGAATTCTGTAGCCCCTCATCCGTACCAGCCTGGCAACCACTGACCTTTTAGTTGCCAGGCAACCCCATGACCACCAGACCAGACCTGGTTCCCCACACTGCCGCAGAACTCCCAACCTTCAGCTGGGATGAAGGTGAGACAGAGGGGCGAGGGCTGGCGCCGGTGGTCGGCCTAGAGCTGAGCTATAGCCTCTCCGTCACAAGCACTAGCGGCCCCTCTTCCCACCCCCACCCCAGCCCATTTCTGTGCTGCCTTCCTCTTGCCAAGACCCAAACTCACCCAGTGGTCAAGGCATCGTGCTTGAGAGGGGAAGCTCCCTGATGTCCCTGCGTCTGATCTATTATGGCCCCCAAACTCTCAAGGCCACCTAGGGGACAGCTGGGCATACTGCCCATCAGAAGAAGATGCTCTTCCTTTAAAAGTGCTAATCCAATTGGAACGTTAAATTGAGTTAATACAAAGATGGAGATTAATTAGAGGTAAATCAGGATTTGGGGAGAGAGGGAGCTAAAGAAGAGAATAAATGATTCCTTTTAAGAGATACTTTTATTGTTTTTTTTTTTAAAATTATAAAATGAATCTATTCACACAATTTTGTACAGAAATCTATAAAGTAAAAAAAGAAAACTGTCAACCCTGAGGTAACCAGGATTAATGGTTTTGAGTGATTTGTTTTTAAAAATAGATAATTTGTTTTACCAAAAAAATACAGTTGGGTAACATGATTATTTCTCGAAGGTATATGTATATGTGACACATATATGTATATAATGCACATAACATGGAATGACATAGATCAGATTCATTATCCCACTCCCTGGAACGGTTTCTGTACAGCAACCAGATTTCTTGCCCAGGGTCTACGACAGAATGGCAGGGGTTGTGGCCTTGAGTGACAGCCCCAGGTTTCAGCGGAAAGCAGGCTTTTAAAGTGCAATCGAAATCATCCTGACTCTCCCTCCCCCATGGAGAGAGCAATCAGGCTGTCCTGTGACATCCTTCCCTACCCCCAGCCAGATATCAGCCTCAGCTACAGCTTCAGAGAAGTGGCTGTCGTGGCTCAGAGGGTCCTGGGGGAGGCTGGCTGGCTGTGTGGCAGCATGTGCCGTGCAGGGAGGGGCTGAGGCCTGGCACATGTGTCGTGTGCACGTGTGTCACATCAGACTTAACATGTGCATTGTGAGCACTGGGAAGGTCATCTGAAATCGGGATCCGGCTGGCTTCAAGGTGTTTGGGATAGTTTTCCCAGTCACTGTAAATCAAGGACATTCCCTGTGTCCAGCTCTGTGAGGGTCCACATCCCCCCGAAGCTGGGATCCTGGGGTCCCAGCTCTGTTTGCTTTCTCCCTGGGCCCTGCTTCCTGCCCCCACCCCCACCCTCTGAACTCCATGAAGAATAAATTCACCGCTCACAAACCCGCCACTTAATTCATGTCTGGAACTAATGCCCCAATTTGCTCAACGATTCTGCTGCTCACCTCGGTGACAAATTTGTGTCGTTGTTGTTCTTCCGAAGCTTGAAATAGCAGGTGCACCCATAGCCCCCACTCACATGGCCTCTCATCTGGCTTCCCAGGGTCCCTGGGTCCTTTGCCCACTCCTTACCTTCGGGGTGTCCCAGGGAGGCCAAGGCCGGGAGAGGCTGGGGAACTCTCTTGTGGCCACGCCAGGCGTCTGTAATCCGTGTGAGTGTCGCTGGCTGGCAGGACCTCCCCAGGCCTGGATTTAGGCAGTGACGAGCAAAGGGGGGTGCTTATCCTTGGTCCTTCTCACCCTGCCCGGCCCCTGCAGACCCGCAGCTCACGCCACACTCAGGGAGCCCAGCCTGGGCTGGCAGACCAGGCGGCAAAGTTGTCATACGCCTCGGCCGAGTCGCTGGAGACCATGTCGGAGGCCGAGCTGCCCCTGGGCTTCAGCAGGATGAACCGCTTCCGACAGAGTCTGCCTCTCTCCCGCTCAGCCAGCCAGACCAAGCTGCGCTCCCCAGGTACTGCCGGCCCTGTCCACCCTCCCTCCCCACACAGGCTCCTCCCTCTGCTCTTCACTCCCTGGAGCCCCCGCCTCCCCTGCAGCATTCCAGCTGGCCTCACGCTCTGCTCTTGCCCACAGCCCCTTCTCCCCCAGCAACCCCAGCTCTCTCCATCTCTCTCGCCCTCAGCATCCCCAGCCGACCCCTTTCTCTCCAAGCCTCCTCTCTCCCTTCTGCTTCCTCTTCTGTCCCTTTCCTTCATCCCTCCCTTCTCCCCTATCTCCCTTCTCTAACTCTCTCCAACCTCTCTCTCCCTCAGCTCACTTCCTCTCAGTTTCCGCCCCACCTGCTCCTGCCCCCACTTCCATTTCCTTGTCCAAATTTCTCCAACTGCCTGGAGTCCAGTGGGTACCTTGAGAGGCTGGAGACGGCCTGGCGCCCCGGCCAGCAGCATGAGGGGTGCCTGGGTGCACCTGCACTCGGGGGCGGAGTCTGGCCTCAGACCCTGCCTCTGCGGCGAGAGCTCCCTGCGGTCTCCCGGAGGGCCGAGTGGAGACGGCGGGGGCCGTGACAGCGAGGGCGGCGTCTCCTTCGCAGGGGTGCTGTTCCTGCAGTTCGGGGAGGAGACTCGGCGCGTGCACATCACGCACGAGGTCAGCAGCCTGGACACGCTGCACGCACTCATCGCGCACATGTTCCCGCAGAAGCTCACCATGGGCATGCTTAAGTCGCCCAATACTGCCATCCTCATCAAAGACGAGGCTCGCAACGTCTTCTACGAGCTGGAGGACGTCCGGTGGGCTTGGCCCCGGGGGCATGCGGGTGGGCTTCCCCACGCTCCTCCTCTGCGGGGTACTGGACACTGCTGGCCCTTCCCCAGCCCCTTCCTGATCCGACCTCAGCCTTTCCCCTCCTTTCCTAGAGCCCTACCGCCCCACCCACTTCTTCGGCCATCTCAGCCCCACCGCCTCTCTCTAAATCATCCGCTCCCGCTGGTTCCCTTTGCTTTGAGCTAACCTAAAAATGGCGCCCGAGGCCAGGAAGAGGCCAGGGTGGAGGCTGCTGGGCCTGTGTGCTGGTGGCTGGCAGCCTGAGTGAAGGATTTAGGAAGGAGTTGGGGCTCCTGGTTCCTCTAGCCACCCCTCTTCTCTCTGCCTGGAGTAGCCGCCCCTCCTCATTGTGCACGGCTGGGGAATGGGTGGTGACCCCTCTGTCCACCCCCCCCCCCCCCCGCCAGGGACATACAGGACCGCAGTATTATCAAGATCTACAGGAAGGAGCCCCTCTATGCTGCTTTCCCTGGTTCACACCTCACCAACGGGGACCTCCGGGTATGGCTGGGCATCCCCAAAGCATTGGGGAGGCTGGGCACATGGGGTCCAGGGGAGCGGGGTCTGGGCAGTTGTCGTCAGGGGCCAGGGCCAGCTTGGGAGAAGGGAGCATAGGGCTGAGGGGTTAGGGAAGAGCCCCTCTCCCACCTGCTACTTCCCTTCTATTCCTGGCCTGTCCACTCGGGATTCCACTAACTTGCCCCCAGATAGTCTAAGGCCTCTCTCAGGAGCCATCCCTTCCCCTTCTACTTCCTACCCTTCACAGTAGCTGAGCTGAGGGTTACTCCGCTGGTGCCTCTCCATCAGCCACCTTTTCCTCCATCCTGGGAACCCTGATGGAAAAGGGGCCCTACCGCAGCAGGATAAAGGGAGGGCAGAGAGCAGAAGGGACTTCCTAAGCGCCAGGGAGGAGATGCTGGCTTCTCAAAAGGGGCAGAGGTGTCCTTGGTGACCAGCCGTGGGGGTCCGGGCTGTCTTCTGCGCAGAGAGAGATGGTGTACGCGTCACGGGAGTCATCGCCCACGCGGCGCCTCAACAACCTGTCGCCAGCGCCGCACCTGGCATCCGGCTCGCCGCCGCCCGGGCTGCCGTCGGGGCTGCCGTCCGGGCTGCAGTCGGGCTCGCCGTCGCGCTCGCGCCTCTCGTACGCCGGGGGGCGCCCGCCCTCCTACGCCGGTAGCCCGGTGCACCACGCGGCGGAGCGGCTGGGAGGCGCCCCGGCCGCCCAGGGCGTCAGCCCCAGCCCCAGCGCCATCCTGGAACGGCGAGACGTGAAGCCGGACGAGGACCTGGCGGGCAAGGCGGGCGGCATGGTGCTGGTGAAGGGCGAGGGCCTCTACGCTGACCCCTACGGGCTGCTGCACGAGGGTCGTCTGAGCCTGGCCGCGGCAGCTGGCGACCCGTTCGCCTACCCGGGCGCCGGCGGCCTCTACAAGCGCGGCTCGGTGCGCTCGCTCAGCACCTACTCGGCCGCCGCGCTGCAGTCCGACCTGGAGGACTCCCTGTACAAGGCGGCGGGCGGCGGCGGCCCGCTCTACGGCGACGGCTACGGCTTCCGCCTGCCGCCCTCGTCGCCGCAAAAGCTGGCAGACGTGGCGGCGCCCCCCGGAGGCCCCCCGCCACCGCACAGCCCCTACTCGGGGCCGCCCAGCCGCGGCTCGCCGGTGCGCCAGTCCTTCCGCAAAGACTCGGGCTCGTCAGTCTTCGCGGAAAGTCCTGGAGGGAAGACCCGCAGCACTGGGAGTGCCTCGACGGCCGGCGCCCCCCCTTCAGAGCTCTTCCCTGGGCCTGGGGAGCGCCCGCTGGTTGGGTTTGGGCCGCCAGTGCCAGCCAAGGACACGGAGACCAGGTGAGGGGCATTCACCAGGCCTCAGGGATGGGGTGAGGGGTCGCTGCAGAGCGGGGGCACGACAGAGTCCGTGGCAGGTGTGTGGCCTGGACTGAGATTCCGTAGTCCTTTGGAGACCTCGAGTAGTCTTGAAGGATCGCCAGAGAGCATCTTGGATGTGGCAGGGCGGGCATTGGAGAGACCAGCATGCCATTTTCCTCCCATCCGCAAGACTCAAGGGGGTGGTTGAGAGGTCCCCAGGTGAGGACTCTGGAGACCTAGGTTTGTATCCATTTTCTGAGCCTCGGTTTCCCCAACTGTAAAATTGAGGGGCTGAACCACTTTCAGTGCCTTTCCAGCTTAGAGTTTGCAGCAGTGAGAGCTGTCCAGCACCAGGCCAGCTGAAGTCCACTGGGGAGGAGGGTGCTGTTGAGAAACAGTGATGGGAAAGGAGCACATTCGGGTACCTAGCCTCCAGGCTGAGGAGCCCCTGCCCATCACCCAGTCCCTTTCTAAGGGTGCAGGGCTGGAGGAGGTACCCAGGGCAGTAGATAACCTGCGCCCTCAGGCAGCGCTGCTGAGCCGCGAGGAGAAGCCATTCGCTTTCACACAAACCCAGTGCCTCTCCTGGTCTAGTGGAGAGACACTCAAAATACTTTCCACTTCCCTTGGGTGACATGGAAGGAGGGGTTTCTTGGGGCTCCTAGGGTCTGTGGAATAGTTTCGGGAGCTCCCTCCTGAGCCCCAACAGTCTTCCCCGACCCTGCCTGGCAGATGGCCCCACCTGTCAGGAGGAGTAAGGAGAAAAGCAGAGCAGGCAGGGGAAAGCACTGCCAGGCATGGAGAGATCAGCGGGCAGCCTTGAGGGAGGGAGTGAAAGATGAGGTGGGAGGCTGTGGGCTTGATCCTTAGGCATTGGAGCCCTTTGAGTTGTCTGTGTGTGGGCAGCCAGGGATGGGACGGTTTCTTCTGGTCACCAATCTTAGGGATGGGGGGCTGGGCAGGACGGACCCTATGCTAAGGCGAGGTTGCTCAGACCCCCTTCCTCCCCAGGGAGCGCATGGAGGCCATGGAGAAGCAGATTGCCAGCCTCACAGGCCTGGTGCAGAGCGCCTTACTCCGAGGCTCTGAGCCTGAGACCCCCAGGTGAGGCCCCTCTCCCAACACCACTGCCAGGGCCTGGGGGTGGAGCAGGAGGAAGGGGAAACGGGCGTCGGCTCTGCCAGTGTCTCACTGGGTGACCCTGGGTGAGTCCCTTCCCTTCTCTGGGACTCCATCTTGAGATCAGAGAGCTGGAGGAGATGACATCTAAGGTCCCACCCAGCTCTGAAGGTCTGGGGCTGGCCTGGACCCCCTGATGCCTATCTTTTTTCCCTGTGCCACAGTGAGAAGATTGAAGGCTCCAATGGAGCAGCCACCCCCTCAGCACGTGAGTGACCCTCCCCCACCCCCATCCTTGTTCCCTCGGAGTCTGTTTTCTAATCTATAAAGTGGGGATTAAGCAATAGCTACATCACTGGGCTTTCAATGAATACATGAGTGGTCACCTTTGCCCGGGCACTTTGGTCCCCACCCTTAGGGCCTTGGGGCAGGTAGTCAGAGCCATGGACTTCTCTGGCTACTGTGTGGGGTCAGAGAGTAGGGAGGACCTTGCTGCAGTCCTTCCCAGGCTTACAATTTGTTTTTTCTCCCATCCTCGTGGTTCTCTGCAGCTTGTGGGTCAGGCGGCCGGAGCAGCGGGGCCACCCCGGTGTCCGGCCCGCCCCCGCCCTCGGCCAGCAGCACCCCCGCAGGGCAGCCTACCGCCGTTAGCCGGCTGCAGATGCAGCTGCACCTGAGAGGCCTGCAGAACAGCGCCAGTGACCTGCGCGGCCAGCTCCAGCAGTTGCGCAAGCTCCAGGTACCGCCCAGTCCCGGGCCCCGCCCCACCAACGCCCACCTACTGGTCGAAGTTTCTTCTCACAAGTCCCGCCCCAACCCCTACTCCCTTATCCTTTCCCCAGACCTCCCGCGCCCGAGTCCTTCGCCGCTCACTGGTCTCTCTCCGAACCCTTTCTCCCCTTCCCCTTTCTTGAGCTTCCGCCCCCTCGCTGAACCTCCGCTCCCCTCACCAAACCCCTACCCCTCGCCCGTGTCCCCCTCATTGAGCCCTCCTTCTCCTTCCCTGAGTCCCCATAGCCCTCCTGGAGCCCCAGTCACCCAGTGAGCCCCGTCCCTCGCCAGTATCCCTCCGGGCAGTTTCAGTTCCTTCCTGCCTTGCATCCCTTTCATGCAGCGAGAACCCTTCCCCCAACTCCCCTCGGCTCCTCCCTCCTGAGCCCCGACAGCCTCCCTCGCCCTGCCAGGCAGATGGTCCCACCTGTCAGGAGCTTGGCATAGCCGTGTCCGCTCCTCAAGCGGGCCCAGGGTACGTCAGGTGAGAATAATGAGCAGAGACAGGCTGGGGAGAGGGCAGAGAATTGCCATCTGGGCAACGGGTAAGATCTCGCCCAGCCCGCCATTCAGGCTTGCAACCCGGTTGGATCAATCGTTAACTTAGCCTTCCCGTCCCAGCCACGGAAACTCTATCAAACGCCAACGCTTGAGTCCTTCATTCCAGTCCCGTCCCCATTCAGGGATGATGGAAGCCACAGCCATGGGGCCCGCACCGTCGGCAGGGCCCTGCATAGGGCCACCCCCTGTCCCGCCAATATCTCCACCCCCTTCTCCTGCCTCATATTCCCCAGAACTTAACCTTGCCCGCCCCCCGCTGCAATACCACCCCCTCACTGCTGCTCGAGGCCACAGCCATGCAGCTGCCCCTTTGCATGGCCCATTTTAACGCTCCCCGCTCCACGATCTCCATCCGTTCTCCTCCTGCCTCTGTTCTTCCCCAGAACTTAGCCCTCTGCCCCTGCCCTTCGCCATCCCACCCCTTCGCTGCTGCCCGAGGCGGAGCCAAGCAGCCGCGTCTTCTGCAGAGCCCCGCCCTGCAGCATTGGGCAGTCCTCTACCGGCCTCCTCCCGGCCCTTCCCCTGCCGCGCGCCTCCGCTCCCCCCACCCGGGTCCATCCGTCCGTGCGTCCCGCAGCTACAGAACCAGGAGTCGGTGCGCGCGCTGCTGAAGCGCACGGAGACAGAGCTGAGCATGCGCGTGTCGGAGGCCGCGCGACGGCAGGAGGACCCGCTGCAGCGCCAGCGCACCCTGGTGGAGGAGGAGAGGCTGCGCTATCTCAACGACGAGGAGCTCATTACCCAGCAGCTCAAGTGAGGCAGGGCCGGCGGCGGAGGGCGGGGTGGGGGTGCGGCCGGAGTGACCGGCAACCTGGCTTCCCTGGGAGGCGGAGCTCCCTTCCTTCTGAGTCACAGGTGACGTTGGTCTGTTCTGCAGCCTGATTTCATTCTCCTCTGGCCTGATTTATCTGTAACCCACAGACCTTCGACCGTCTGGCATTATTCCTGATTCCTTTTTTCTGGCTTGATGCCTGCTTTTGCTCTGGTCTTGCTTCGTATTGATCTACACGCAGGCTTCCTGCGGCCTGCAGCTTCCCTCTCATGTGGCCAGCTGCCTGATTTTCCTCTGCCCACTGCCTACTTTCGTTCTGGCCTGTAACCGTGCACAGTGACCCTCGGGTAGTGTGTTCAGGTGGAGCGTTCAGGTGCCGCCACTGCTCCAGCCTGGCGCTGACCAGCCACCAATGGCGATCCGATTTCCTGATCTCGGAGTCCAGATATAGCCAAGGAAAACCCAGCTTCCTCCCTAGTGCGGCTGGAACAGGGCTGTAGTGTTTTCAGAAAGAAGGAGGAATTGCGAACACTCCGCCTCCGCGTGCATAGACATGGAGGGGTTAACAGAAGACAGTCTTCTGATCCAAATTTAGCAAATGGCTGTCTGGCCAACGATTTCATTGTCTGGCACCTTTGAAGAGAGACGCTGCCTTTCGGTGTCCATTCAGGGAGTGAGCGCCCCCACCCTGCTTTCCCTCACCAGTGATAGGGATCTGAGACCCAGGCTCCCTGCTCCTTCCTGTGGGCCCCCTCTTGGTGACACAGGGCACTAGGGGATCTGGAGTCCAGTGCCAGCACTGAGGGATGGAGTGATCAGGGCAGTTCCTGCCCCTCTCTGTGCTCCAGTGTCCTCATCTGTACCCAGCATTAAGCTTTTTGCCTCTTTTCAGCAAGGAGTTGAGTTGTACTGGCCAGCGACTTTGGGAGCCAGGAGAGGCTGCCCTTGGAACCCAGCTTCCTCACCAAGTCATAAATGAGCCTCTTGCAAGGGGCTCCTTGAGATGGGCCACTCCTCCTCAGGCTGGGGCCCACGTAGCCTAATGGTACATGTGCATTTCAGCAGGGCCTAGGGCAGTGATTCCCATGACGCCATGCGGCTGAAGTAGGGTAAGGGGCCACTCCAAGGGACATAAGCCAAGGGTAGCCACCCCATCATTCTAGGTGTGACAACTTAGTGACGACTCCAGCCAGATCTCCAGGCAGACTGGCAGGTGCCATCTCTCCTCATCCAGGGAATTCTATTTCCCCAGATTTTCTATCCATTCCTTGTCCCTTTTCATTCAGCCCAGAGGAGGGGGGTTGGAATTTTCAAAAGGAACTTCACCAAGACATTAAAGGGAAATTAAAGGAGATCTGAAAGCACAGAGACAGGAGATATGAAAGGACAGGTTTATGCTATCATCATTATACATGTTTGGTCCTTGGCTCCCTGAGGGCCTTGATTCTCCAGGAACAGACTCTCCACCCCCTACACCATCATCAAACCCACTACTCGGACTGTTTACTTGAGAGAGCTTGGGACCTGCAGTGCTGTTTCTGGCAGGATTCTCCATCCTTCTGAAAGGGGGCTTCTGCCTCTTCTGGGTTGGGCAGATACTGGGCTCCAACCTGGCCATGAAGGCCCTCCCCACCCAGCTCCCTTAGCTTCCCCAGGCTTTAACCCTGCAGCCCCCCTGCCCCACACTCTGGCCATAGCCCCTGCATACTCACTCTTGCTCCAATTTGGTATGCCCCTTCCTCTTTCCTGGCAACTTGCTGGAAGTCAAAACTGGTTCTGTTCATTCAGCTTGGCTCGCTCACCTGTCCATCTAGCCCAGCACTTAAGGTCTGTATGGACGTTGCCTTTAGGGGCAGTCTCTGCTGACTGAAACCTTTTAGGTCCCGGAATCTACCTTTGCCTAACCCAGGGCCAGCTTCGTAGGGATGTCACCTGTGCAGTCATGCAGGGCTCTGTGCTTGGAAGGGCCCCATGCTTGGTGTGATGCTCTGCTGTCGCCATCTTGAAATTCTTAATCGTTTTTAAACTAAAGGTAATATTTTCATTTTGCATGGGGTCCCATAAATTATTTAGTTGGTTCCATCTTGACTCTCCCCTCTTGACCCCTCCAAGACTAAACCTGGGTTTGGAAAGCCCAGCCGCTTTTTATTCCAGTGTCTAGACTAGCTGGTCTGGGACTCATTTGCAGAGCTTGCCCAGGTTAGAGGCCCCAAAACTTTGGCAGATTGGATGATCAGAAGATCAAGGTGCTGATGGAGCTTAAGAGAAGCCTAGTTCCTCCTACCTGGGAGTGGTAGTGTTGTCACCTCCTGAAGGCTTATTTGAATCCTTTAAATGAAAGTCTCTATCCCCTGTGAGTGATGTTTGGGTGACCATTTTCTAAAACTGGCACAGCCTGGACCAGTCAGATGTCACACATATGAGCAGGGGACTTGTTCTTACCTATTTGGTAGAGCGAGGGCTGGGCTAGGACAGCGTATGGATTGGGAGCAGCATGGGTGATGTTAGCCTAGTGTGGAAATGAGATGCGGCAGAACCGATGGCTGAAGTCAGATGTGAGTAGATCCTGCTTTGCCACAAAATAGCTGTATGACCTTTGACTAACTAGTGAAAGTCTTTGAATATCTTTTTTCCCTTTTTTTTTTTTTAATGCCAAAGCTTTAGTTAGGATAGCTAATTAATTAGGGTACCTTGCTCTAACAAATAAGCTCTCAAATTGTTTAATAATTCAAAAGTAGGCCAGGCGCAGTGGCTCACGCCTGTAATCCAAGCACTTTGGAGGCCAAGGCGGGCGGATCACCTGAGGTCCGGCGTTCAAGACCAGACTGACCAACATGGTGAAACCCCATCTTAAAAAATAATAATAATAATTCAAAAGTAATAAACTTAGCTTTCTCATGGAACAGTATTGGGTGGGTTCGCGGAGTGGCTGTTCTCCATGCAGTCATTCAGGGACCCAGGCTGATGGGGGTTCTGCCATCTTCAACATGTGTTTTTCAAGATCACCCAGAAAGTTTCCAACCAACAAAAAAGGCGAAAGGAGCGTGGAGGAGCTTACATGGAGTTTTTTGTGGGCCAGGTCTGGAAGCATCATGTGCCCCTCCCACTCACCTTCCATTGGGTAGACTTCAGTTAAATGGCCACTTTTCACCGCAAGGGAGGCTGGGATATGTAGTCTAGGATCTGAGCCACTGTTTGTCCATGTGTAAGCTGAAGATAATAACTGTTCCCACCTCCAGGATTAATTAAAGTAATGAAAGCCAAGGGCTGAGTGTGGCACCTGGCAAACAGTAAGTGCATAAATACAGGATAGCTCTTTAACTGGTAGTGCTGCTGAGTCACAAGTTTCGCCCTTGACTCCAACCTAGTCTGTCTTTGCACCTGCTAGTTGGATGAAGACGTGTAAGGCATGCTGATAAGATTTGCTGATGACACAGAGCTTTAAGGGGGAGCAAATCTGTTGGATGGCAGAACTGAAATTCAAAAGTTGTTGGCACCCAGATTGAGCTGAAATCCAACAGATGGGATTTGACAGAAATGTACATAAAGTCCCAAATGTGGGTCAGGGATGTCAGTGACTCAAGTACCAAACTGAGATGACCTACCTGGGCAGCAGTTCCTTCTCTCCCTTGTTCATTCCACAATTATTTCCCAGACATCTACTCTACACCAGGCACCATGCCAGGTGCTAGAAATGAGCTGTATCTGGAAGACATGGTCCTTGCCAGCCTGGGGTTAGTAGTCCAGAAGGTTGCACAACCCAGCCAACAGGAGCTTCAGAGGTTCGGAAGGCAGGAAGCCGACCCAACAACCGCAAGGGGAGGGATTGGAGGAGAGCTTCCCATTGAGACCTGAGGGCCACTGGGAGTTAGCACATGTGTATGTGCATGTATGTGCATGGGTGAATGGAATATTCTAGGCAGAGAAAATAAAGAGTCAGAGAGGGCAGCACGTGTAGGACCTCGGAGCTCAGAGCAGTTCCTTTTTTTTTTTTGAGACGGAGTTTCACTCTTGTTGCCCAGGCTGGAGTGCAGTGGCCTCGGCCTCCTCAAGTGCTGGGATTACAGGCATGAGCCCCTGTGCCCAGCTGGACCTCAGAGCAGTTCTGAAGGGCTCTAAGCAGAAGCCAGATGGGACGGGGGACAGCGGCACGGAAAGCTAGAGCAGCTCCCAGGCACTGAGCCCTTGCCGCCTGCTTTCCTATCTGCATTCGCCCCCATGAAAGGGAAACTCTTTTTTTTTTTTTTTTTTTTTTTTTTGAGATGGAGTTGCACTCTGTTGTCCAGGCTGGAGTGCAGTGGCATGATCTCGGCTCACCCCAATCTCTGCCTCCCAGGTCCAAGCGATTCTCCTGCCTTAGCCTCTCGAGTAGCTGGGATTACAGGTGCATGCCACCATGGCTGGCTAATTTTTGTATATTTAGTAGAGACGGGGTTTCACCGTGTTGGCCAAGCTCGTCTTGAATGCCTGACCTCAGGTGATCCACCCACCTCGGCCTCCCAAAGTGCTGGGTTATATAAAGGCATGAGCCACCGCCTGGTGGGGAACTCTTGCCATCTCTATTTTTTGGACAAGGAGGTAGAGGTCCAGAGATATTACTTAACTTGCTGAAGCTCTCTCCTCTGGGAAGGGCAGAGCTAGGATAGGAGCTGGATCATTCTGACTCTAGAGCCAAGTTTTCTTTCTTTCTTTCTTTCTTTTTTTTTTTTTTTTGAGACGGAGTTTCGCTCTTGTTACGCAGGCTGGAGTGCAATGGCGTGATCTTGGCTCACTGCAACCTCTGCCTCCTGGGTTCAAGCAATTCTCCTGCCTCAGCCTCCCAAATAGCTGGGACTACAGGTGCGTGCCACCATGCCCAGATATTTTTTTTTTTTTTTTTTTTTTTTTTTTTTTTTTTTGAGACGGAGTTTCGCTCGTTACCCAGGCTGGAGTGCAATGGCGCGATCTCGGCTCACCGCAACCTCCGCCTCCTGGGTTCAGGCAATTCTCCTGCCTCAACCTCCTGAGTAGCTGGGATTACAGGCACACGCCACCATACCCAGCTAATTTTTTGTATTTTTAGTAGAGACGAGGTTTCACCATGTTGACCAGGATGGTCTCCATCTCTCGACCTCGTGATCCACCCGCCTCGGCCTCCCAAAGTGCTGGGATTACAGGCTTGAGCCACCGCGCCCGGCAATTTTTATATTTTTTAGTAGAGATGGGGTTTCACCATGGTGACCAGGATGGTCTCGATCTCTTGACCTCGTGATCCACCCGCCTCGGCCTCCCAAAGTGCTGGGATTACAGGCGTGAGCCACTGTGCCCAGCCTAGAGCCAAGTTTTCAACTTCCTGCTCTTCTCGGTCGCATTGAAAAGTTTGGATGTTAGCCTCAGGATGGTAGGATCCATTTAGGGTTCAATGGCAGGAGTGATGACCTGGTCTGATTTATATTTTAGAAGAATATAGGGTCTTAAATGAAACAAGTTCAGCATATGCTAGCTGAAAAGCTAAAGCAGCTTTGGCCCTTGGAAAGAGGCCGTGTGGCTGGATCATTTGGGAGAAGGGCAATGGACATGGCAGTTTCCCCTGAGACAGGAGACCTCCCGTGGGGCATGTGCTGCTGCCTCCAGTTCTCTGAAAAGCAACCAAGTTCTCTCTGCTTCCTCCGAAGAATAGAATCAGGGATGCAAGTTACAATGAGAGATACCTGGGCAGATATTGCTGAGGATCAGAGCTTCCAAGCGGGGGCAGATGGAGCAGGGCACCTCTCAGGGAGTGCTTCTGAAGTCTCCTCATGCCTGAGATTTGGCATTGCAGGTTTTGCTTGAGTACGTGGCCTGGTGGTTGACTTTTATGTTTGTTTGTCTTTGAGACAAGGTCTCCCTCTGTCACTCAGGCTAGACTGGAGTGGCACAATCATGGCTCACTGCAGCCTCAATCTCCTGGGCTCAAGCGATCCCCCTGCCTTAGCCTCCCAAGTAGCTGAGACTACAGGTGCCTGCCACTACGCCCAGCTAATTATTTTATTTTTTAGTAGAGACAAGGTTTCCCTATGTTTCCCAGGCTGGTCTTGAACTCCTGGGCTCAAATGATCGGCCTGTCGCAGCCTCCCGAAGTGCTGGGATTACAGGCATGACCACCATGCCTGGCCTCCTGCTTTTAATTTTGATCCACTGGTGGCCTGATTTCTTTCCAGCTGCCCAATTTCAGGGGGCTAGGCTGGCATCTCAGACCAAAGGGGCTGAGGGGATCTCTCTGTGACTGCAGTGACCTGGAGAAATCGGTGGAGAAGATCCAGAGGGACGTATCCCACAACCACCGGCTGGTGCCCGGTCCCGAGCTGGAGGAGAAGGCGCTGGTGCTGAAGCAGCTCGGGGAGACTCTGACGGAGCTCAAGGGTGGGTCTGGGGCCTGCGGGCGCTGTGTGAGGTCCAGAGAGGGGGAGTCTGCTGTACTCCCACCACCATCCTCTCCTCCCAGTCGGCAATGCCCCCTCTGGCCCCGGCTCACACCTTCCTGTCTCCTTAGCTCACTTCCCAGGCCTGCAGAGCAAGATGCGAGTGGTGCTGCGCGTGGAGGTGGAGGCAGTGAAGTTCCTGAAGGAGGAGCCTCAGCGCCTGGATGGGCTCCTCAAGCGCTGCCGCGGGGTCACAGACACGCTGGCCCAGATCCGAAGGTCATTCCGTCCCTGATCTCTTAATTTCTCATGGGATCACACACCCAGCCCAGACCCATAGGTCAGACTGAACCCTTACCCCAACTTCCACAAAGGTCACTGGCTTGCTGATAGACCGGCACCTCAGCTCCGCCCAGTGACCCCTGCATGCTGTAGACTCAGCTTCCTCTTATTTGGGGGCGGTCACTCCTCCCCAGGCCCCCCACCTCTCCTGCAGCATCCCAGAGCCTGCCTCCCACCCCATCTCCCTCAGGCCAGCCTTCCTGCAGAAGGGCCAGCACCTGCTGGGCTCACAGCGGCTCCCAACTCTCCCAACCTCAGGCAAGTGGATGAGGGTGTGTGGCCACCCCCGAACAACCTCCTGAGTCAGTCCCCCAAGAAGGTGACGGCAGAGACTGACTTCAACAAGAGCGTGGACTTCGAAATGCCACCCCCCAGCCCCCCGCTGAACCTGCACGAGCTGAGCGGGCCAGCTGAAGGAGCCTCTCTTACCCCCAAAGGGGGCAACCCCACCAAAGGCCTGGACACTCCTGGCAAGAGAAGCGTGGACAAGGCTGTGTCTGTTGAGGTGCTGGGGCCAGGGATTGTGGGTGGTGCCCTGAGCCAGGGTCACACATTCTTACCACCATCCTTTTTAGGGTGGGGAGTGCCAGTCTTGTGGGTCTTTTTCCTTGGGGGAGGAGGGCCAGTGGAAGTCTAAGAAGCATAATAAGGGTAAAATTAGTCCCGCTAGACAGAAAGCATATTATAAAGCTGCAATAATTAAAGCAGTATGATGTTTGCCTAAGAATAGACTTTGTAGTCAAAGAAACAATAGAATGCCCAGAAATAAGTCTAAGTTTATCATGAATGTAGTATATCATGAAGGTGGCATTCCTAACCCATGGGGATGGCATGTGATACCCACGTGAAGTTGAAGGGTCCTCCTGGAGGTGGGATCAAATAGGAGGCTTCCTTTCTATTCCCTGCCCGTATGGCTGTGGGGAGGAGGCTGAGGCCCCAGAGGTCCTGGAGCAGGAGAGCTACCTCAGTCCTGACTCCTGGCACCGCTTCAAGGCTGCAGAGCGAGACTGGGAGGAGAAGCGGGCAGCCCTGACCCAGTACAGTGCCAAGGACATCAACCGGCTGCTGGAAGAGACACAGGCGGAGCTGCTCAAGGCCATCCCTGACCTGGACTGTGCCAGCAAGGCACATCCAGGCCCAGCCCCCACGCCAGACCACAAGCCCCCCAAGGCCCCCCACGGCCAGAAGGCAGCCCCCCGAACAGAGCCCAGCGGGAGGAGAGGCTCAGGTATGGGGAGCAGTAGGGATGGTGGGGAGCCCACCATGGGGGAGTGCCCTCCTTGGGAGCTTAGGCTGACGGGGCAGCACTGGAGCATCAAGATCATTGTGGTTGGGTTGCCAGACAAGGGAGTCTCTTCTCACCACTAAAGGGAAACCGAGACCCAGAAGGACAGGGCAAGCTGACTTCATCCCGGGCTTTTCCCACTGTCCTGGAAGTGAGCCACTGAGAGGACCAGGCAGGGAGGATGAGCAAGTCCAGGCAGAGTTATCCGCCTCCACAACTTGGCTGGGCGCATGCCACAAACCAGGCTGTGCCGAGGGCAGGCTCTGGTGCTGGTACTGACACTGTTCCATGCTCCGCTCCCCAGCTTAAGTCATGGTCGCAGGGGAGGCAGAAATCCAGACCAGAAGTGGCAGTCATCATTCCTTCATTTTATTCATTCCTTCAGTGCATATCTGTTAAGCACCTACTGTGTTCTGGGTGCTGGAGATATGGAAATAAGGCAGGGCTTGCTTTCAAGGAGCTCAAAATTTAGTGAGGGAAATAATACTGACATTTGTGTTTATCAAGCACTTACTCTGTGGTAAGAACTGTTCTGATGCTTTAAATGTATTTGTCCTTATAATTTTTATATATATATATATATATATATATATATATATATATATATATATAAATAAAAGACGGGGTTTCACCATGTTGGTCAGGCTGGTCTTGAACTCCCGACCTCAGGTGATCAGCCCGCCTTAGCCTCCGAAGTGCTTGGATTACAGGCGTGAGCCACCGAGCCGGGCCGTCCTTATAATTTTATAACAAGCCCAGGAGGCAGATACAGTAGCTAGTTCCATTTTACAGATGAGGAGACAGGCTCAAAATGATTAAGTAATCTGTGCCAGGCCACGCCTAGTGTGTAAACAGAACCAGCATGCAGGTGCTAAATGGAGTAGCAGAGGTGAATGCCCGTGCTGTGCAGTCCTGGCAAGGCCCTACGAGGGCAGGAAGCCTTTCCAAAAGAGGTGACTTTTCAAACCCCCACCCCACTCCACTCCCACCTTTCCCCCTCTTTAAAAAAAAAAAAAAAGAGGTGACTTTTCTTCGCTGAAGTCTTGCAAATGAGTGGGGCACTTCCCCAGCCAGTGAGAGAGGGCACTCCAGGGTGAGGGAACAGCGTGTGCAAACCCCTGGAGGTGTGTGTGTGGCGTGGCCTGAACAGGCCTAAGCCGGGGCGCAGCAGGCAGAGCTGAGGCTGGAAGCTTGGCAGGTGCAGAGGTGCTGGCCTAAGGAGCTGGCCCAAGGTGATAGGATCAAAGGCAGGGGAATGGCACGGTGAGAGTGACCTCTCCACAGGGTACCCGGGGAACAGGGCTGGAGGCCAAATCCAGGGAAAGGAGAGCTCAGTGGGAGGGACCAGGATCCTTGGAGGAGCGATGGAGGGCTGAGCAAGGGTGAGGGGCAGGGGGAAGGAGCGGGTTAGAGCCGTGCCTCTGCAGCTTGAATGTGCGTCCATCACCCTGGGATCCATCACCCTGGGATCCGTTCAGCAGCCCGGGGTGGGACCTGAGCGGCAGTCCTGACAAGCTTCCAGGTGCTGCCGGTGCTGCTGGTCCACAGACCACCCTTAGAGCTGGAAGAGTAGGTGCTGTCAGGAGAGGGCCGGGGGGGGGGGGCTGCAGTGCCGGAGGAAGAGAAGGAGGGCCCTGTGTTCTTGCCCCCAGGCTTTTCCCTCCCCTCCTCCTGGTCCTCCCTGGAGGAAGAGGAAAGGTTTATCCCCTTGGAGTTAGATGCAGTGCACTGACTCCAGGATTGCAGGCCCTCTGAGCCCCGGCCCCTTGGTGCCTGCAGATGAGTTGACAGTGCCTCGATACCGCACCGAGAAGCCCTCCAAGTCGCCCCCGCCGCCCCCTCCCCGCCGGAGCTTCCCCTCCTCTCACGGCCTGACCACCACACGCACTGGAGAGGTGGTGGTCACCAGTAAGAAGGACTCGGCCTTCATCAAGGTACCGCTCCCGCCTTGGACAGAGGGCCCTGGGACTGAGTTAGGACGAAGCCTCAGATGACGTCTGCGACCGTTTGGGGTGGGAAGGAGACCCCTTTCTCAGATGACGTGGAAGGAAAGAGGGGGTGGCCGGTGGTGACTTTGTTGTGCTAGTTTGGGACCCTGGGTATGTATTTGCCTTAATTTCATGTCAGGCCCCTGCCCATTGGGGGACACCCTGGCAGGGGACAGCAGAAGTAGCAGATGAGAAGCTGGGTGGATGGGAGATGGGTGAGGTGAGCTGGTGCTGAAGGGAGGCAGAGCCTGGCCCTGACAGGGGTCCCGGGCCTTGCAGAAGGCCGAGTCCGAGGAGCTGGAGGTGCAGAAGCCCCAAGTGAAGCTGCGCCGGGCGGTGTCCGAGGTGGCCCGCCCGGCCTCCACGCCACCCATCATGGCCTCGGCCATCAAGGACGAGGATGATGAGGATCGCATCATCGCAGAGCTGGAGGTGGGTCAGGACCCGCCTGGCCCCCGAGGCCTCAGCCAGACCCCCTTCCCTGCCAGGCTGCCCTCAGGCCAGGTGATAGGAGGCAGAGGATGGGCTCTGGGGCTCCCGTGGAGCACTGACTGTTTAGACCCCAGCCTTCCTGCCTCCATTTCTTCACGGTGAAATGAGGGGTGGGGGTCTAAAGTCTTCTCTCCTTGCAGGTTGAGTTTTTAAATTGTAGTCCCTGAGTCCCCCAAATATCTGCAGACCTCCTGCACTCTGAAAGCCCCACACCCGAAGAATCTGAGATCACCGAGTTTGGAGACCCCCAGCCCCGAGAGTTCCAAGATCAGCTCATGCTTGAGCCCCCCATGCTTGAGTATTCTGAGGACAGAGCCCTGAGACTCACACCTCATGCCTCCACTCTCCCCGTGGTGTCAGTCACCGCACTCAAGTGTTCTCAGCCACTCCCAGCCCCAGTGCCAGAGACCTGGACTACCAGGGCCTCTGGAGGAGGTGACCAAATGAGGCCAGAGAGGGCTGGTGGCCATGGCAAGGGACCAAGGGGTGAGGATGGAGGCCTGATGTCATCCCAGGCCACACCCTCCCCAAGTGTGCCAGGGCCACAGGCCAGCACCCTCATCCTCCCTGGTACCCCCTCCTCCAAACCTGTCCCCACCTTCTGCTCCCCAGGTGTTTGAGAGAAGCTCAGTGTCTTCCCTCCCCCCCACGCCCCGCCGCCAGCTGATCCCCACCTTGCTGTCCCCCCAGGACCTGGGGCCCCCCAGGGGCTCAGCCCTGGGCCCTACACGGAAGGTAACGGGGCTGCCCCCCACTTCTCACAGCTCTCTCTCTGCCTGTGCCTCCACAGCTTCCTCTCACCTCTCACGCTAACCTGCTAAAACGCCAGTCACCGTCCTGAGTCCCGCCACGGCCACAGCCACTGCCACAGCGTCACACGTGGACTCACCCCTCCCCCACTCCAAGGACAGGCGCATAACCCTTCCTCCCCACTGCCTGCTAGGGGGGATCCCCGAGACTCCAGCAGTCTGGGTGTCTGGTGGCCCCTTGGGTCTGCATTTTCTCATGGGCTTGCTGATGGGGGCTGGGCTATTTTGTTCTGGTTCACAGTCTGAGCTTAGGTCTGGCTTGAAAGCTGAGTATGGTCTTGGGCCAAGACTGGAGCTTGGATCTTGCTGACAAGATGACTTTGGGTCCAACTCAAAATCTGACCTTGTCCTGAGCCCTTGCCTAGCCCCCACCTCCATCCCCACTGCTCTGCTGCCTGTGCCGGGAGGGGCTCTGTTTCCCCACTAGAATCGATGCCTTGTGCTGGGGGCCAGGACACCGCAGGGGCAGGCCCATCTGCAGCCTCACCATCCCCACGGCCCCCACGTTGCTTTCTTTGACAGAGAGCTTGGAATGGAAGAAACCCATGCCGGTCCTTGGCTGCCGGTTCTTTCTGCATTGGGAGGGTCTTCCTTCTCTCTAACCTCAGTTCTTGCTGCTGTCCTGCTGAACTTATTTCCTCTTTATTCTTTCCTGGGAATTTGGGGGTGAACCTGCTGTCTGCACCCCACCCCTGGGGACTGTGCTTGGGGAGGAGGGAAGGGGGAGGATCTGGGAATCTGGCTGAGGCAGGGGGACCTTTGCTCTGGGGAGGGACAGCCTCCCATGTGCACACATTCCCTTTCTGGGTCTCCCTGGCTCACAGTGAAATCTGGGCTGGTGGCCACCTGATTTCTAGCCTGGCTGGAGGCCTGGTGGCGCTTTGGTTTCCTGGCCGGGGAGGAACAGAGGGGCATCAGACAGTGGACAGTGCCTCCTGCTGGGCAGGGGATGGGCACAGGGCAGTGCGAGGAACCTCTAGGATGAGCTGTGTGGAAGGGGCGCCTCCTGGGCTGGCTGTGCCCTCAGCACTTTGGCCCCTCCCATCCAAGCCCTGCCCCTTTCCGGCTCTGGAGGCCAATCCTGAGGGGCCCAGTGGACAAGGCCTTTTGCCCCTGGCCAGCCCTCTGCATCCTGCAGCCACATCGGGCAGTGGAGCTGGGCGAGCGTGAGGTCGCCCTCTCTGCCTTCCCAGTCAGCACCCCCTGCTTCCAGGTAAGTAGGTGGTAAGGCTGGGTGGGTTCCTTTGCCAGGGTGGGGGTGGTGGTTGGGGGTCCCTGCTGTCAGCTCCCATCTCCCCACGGCTCCCTTTAGTGGAAGGAGCACTGGCCTTGGAGTCAGACTATCTGGGTTCAAATCCAGGCTCTGCCACTAACTAGCTGTGGGTGGGTGACCTTTGGTGAAGCGTGTAACCTCTCGCCCTGGTAAGAGCAGCAGTCACTTCATGGGTTAAGGTAGGCACTGAAGGTGAGGATGGGTGTGGCAGCGCCTGGCACAAGCCTGGTGCTCAGAGTTAGACCAGGAATTCACTGACGTCGGGAAGTGGTATTTGGGGCCTCCCTCTGTGTCCTCACTGAGGCCATGGCCAGGAATGCTGGCACTGGAGCAGGTGCCCAAGGAAGCTTTGCCCAAGTGTGTGCAGCAGGGGGTTTGGCAGGAGGCGAGCCCCACCCATCTGGCTGTGAAGCTCTTGGGGAGAGCACACAAAGTTGGGGGGGACCAGAAGTCTCTGGTTTGAGATGGGATGTGTCCCCACTCTCCCAGGCCAGAGGCTGACATGTGGTCTCTGCCCATACAGGGCCGAAGGTCTTGGTCATTCCATTCATTTCAACAAATAGCTAATATTTCTGAAGCACTCACGCCATGCCCGGCGAGCTCACTTAACCCTCCACCAGCCCCACCTTGGTGCTTACTCACAGATGGGCACACTCCCAGGGGCGACACTGAGACCAGCTCCCGGAGCTCACATGGGCAGTGTGAACTAAACATTGCCTGCCCCTGGGCAAACCAGCACCTTTCCCAGAAAGCAGGGGGCCGTGTGGTATGAAGGGAAGAGACCTGAATTCTGGTCCCAATTCTGCCTCCAACTTACTGGGTAGCCTCTGTCAGGACCCTCCCTGCCTTAGTGTCCCCATCTGTGAAAGAAGGGGGCTAAGCTCACCTAACTGTAACCCCCCCTTTTAGCTTGGGGTTCAGTTGCAGGAATCACATGCTTCTCATCTTCCTTCTGCCCCCAGGCTGTCCCAGGTCCCAGGGCCTTCTGCGTCCCAAGGATCATCTTGACAGAGTGTGCCCCCAACCCTCCCTCCATGCCAGAAGTCAGACTTGAGGAAACAGGACCCAGGACAGCTCCTACCCCAAGACCTCGGACCCTGGCTGACAGCAGGAGGGGCTGGGATGGCCCACAGGCCCTGCCAGGGGCAGTCGGGGAGACTCCTGGGCCGAGGAGCGGCTTCCTGCCCCAGAAGGAGGGGGCGGTTCTGAAGACACTGGGCAGAGGAGGCCGCAACCCAGAGGATAAAGGAGCCAGGGTCCCCGGGCCTCAGGGACCAGCCCAGGATGGGACTCCAGGGACCTCTACTGCTGACACCTACCCAGAAGAGACCCTCAAGGACCCTGGACACGATGCCCAAACGTGCAGTAGGGAGAGCCAGGGCCAGGCTGCCGCCAGCTCAGGCTGCACTGCATGGGGTGCCACCGCCCGGCGGATGGACAGCCTGGAGGAGACGCTCCGGGAGCTGGAAGCCACCCTGAGCAACATGGGCACAGGCCCTGCTGTGGGGCCCCCTGGCAGCCCTCCATCCTTACCCCTTGGCCCCCAGGTGGCTGCCCCCTCTTCATCCTCCCCTGCTGCCTTCCTGCTCCATTTCCAGAGTCGGACGGAGTAGCGGGCAGCAGGAGTGCCAGGCCAGCCCTCTCCTCCAACCAGCCTTCTCTCAGCTCTTTCTGCTCTGCTGGAAGCCTGGTGCCAGAGCAGGGTTTGCAGGCAGAGTCCGGGGGAGGCTGGGAAGCCGGTCTACCCAGGGGTCTGCCAGCCCAGCTTTGGCAAGAACCAGGGCCTCTCCCCTTCTGCCCTTTGTCTGTAAACCAGCTAATAAAGTTTTCTCCCCACCTTCCAGCCCCATGCTCCCCTCCCCCACCGTCTGACTTTCTGTCTCTGTCATCTCTCTGCTCGCGCCTCGGGATCCCCACTGTCCCCTGGGCAGGCCTGGTACTTGGGGAGGTTCATGGGAGCCAAGCTTGCCCCCATGGGAGACCTCACCTCCATCCTCCCATTAGGAGGAGGATGTGGCCTGGGGCCGCCCGTCTGCTCTGTGTGCTGTTATAGATAGCCCCTTGCTGGCATGTGCACCCAGGTCCAGACGGTGCCCCTTGCCGGGAGCGGGGGTGCTGCTGGGGACCCTCACTTTAGCAAAGGCTCCCCAGGGAGGGTATCAGCTGCCCCTGGGCTACTCAAGGAAGCCACCAAAGAGTCTCCCTCGGGAGCCGCTGGGAAGCTGGCCGGGCAGCACCCCCCACTCTCCTGCAGGGAGGCCCTAAATGGGGGCTCAGAGGGTGGGCCTGGGTCCTGGACTGGGACGTGGAGCCAGAGAGGGTCTCAGAGGGCCCCAGTGAGGCGGTCCCAGCCCGAGACCCAACCCAGCGCTAGGGTTCCTGTGTGATTCACCCCACGCAGACCCTGCAACCCTGTTCCTCTTCTTGCAGAGTGGCGGAGGCAGTGTACCGCCCATGAAGGTGGTGACTCCAGGGGCCTCTCGGCTGAAGGCAGCCCAGGGCCAGGCGGGCAGCCCCGACAAAAGCAAGCATGGCAAGCAGAGGGCCGAGTACATGCGGATCCAGGCCCAGCAGCAGGTGAGGGCAGGGACTGTGGGGCCACCTGGGCCCGCTCCACAGCATGCCGGGCCCCTGCCCTGCGCTGGGCACCTCCTGGCCCTGCTCCCGTGACCAGCTTCCCCGCCTCTGCCCAGACACACCCTCCCTGCCAGGACTGCCCCACCCCCCCTCTGAACCACCTTCTCCCTCCTCCTCCCGATCCCGGAGCTTTAGATCTGGGTTAGAACATGAGTTCCCAACCTGGCACCTCTCCTCTCAGGAGTCCCCTCACTCAGAGACAGAAGATTCATCTCCAGCTACCACTGCTGCTCCTGGAGGAGGGGTGAGCTGGTCGCTTTGAGACTCCAGAAGCCCCAGCACCTGGGTCCCGTCTCAGGCCCAGACTACCCTGGGACGCATGAGGGGGGTTGGAGACCCTCTCCTTCCTGCCACTCCAGTTCTCTCTTCTGCTGCCCCTCCCTCTTCCCAGCCTGCTCTTCCAGAGCCCACTCTCATCTCAGGCTCCCTCTTAGCTCCTAGGCCACCCCAGCTAAGGGAGAAGCCAGCTTTGCATCTGCCTTTCAGCCTTGTGTTTGGGTTTCAGTGGGGTCACCTCCCGTCTTTGCAAGGTGAGGTGGGGACAGGGGAGAGGCACTTTGGCCCTCAGGAAGGGCAGGGGTGCCAAAGGAGTTGCAGGGATGCTGCAGTCTCAGATCTAATGAGCAGGTGCGGGGGCTGCGTACAGTGGACAAACCTCACCGGTGGGTGTTTACTGCCCGTGGCCTGCCTGTGTGGCCTGGTCAGAAGCTGCAGGATGGCCCCCAGACCTGGTTGTGAGAGACAGTGCTCTCATTTGGGTCAGTGAATATTTCTGAGCAGCTCCTGTATGCCAGGCCCATCCTGGGTGTGAGGGTGGGGGCTGTGATACGTCCAGATGCTCTCACTTGAAAAAGGTTCTAGACTCAGAGGCAAGAGGTTAGAAATGGGTGTGACCATCTCCTTTTCAGATGAAGGGACAGCTCAGAGAAGGGACAGGCTTCCCAAAGGTGCAGAGCAAGGGGGCATCTCAGCCAAGATCAGGACCCAGGAACCCTGGAACCTTTCCCTGCACTGGCCCTGGGACAGCCCTGGGCACCCAAGGCCCTGCCTCCCTGCTGGCTCCCGGGAGAACCTCTCAAAGGCCAGCCCTCCAGCCCCCCGCAGCCTCTCCACAGCTCCCCACCTGCCTCCTCATGGTCCCCAGAGACACCCCACGAGTCTCACCCACAGCTCTTTTCCTGCCATTGCCAGGGATGAGTTCCCCTGGTCCTGTCCAGGTGCCCAGCATAGCAGCTGACATTGACAGAGCTTTTGCTGGGGCCAGGTACATGTGTCACCTCATCTCACACTCATCACAGGAAGGTCTATTACCCCCATGTGACAGGTGAGGAAACAGGCTTAACCCAAGGCCACACAGCTGGCAAGTGGGGGGCAATACACCAGTCCAGACTGCCTCCCTCCCCACCGCAGAGCTTCATCCTCTCCAGCAGGCCCTTCCCTCAGCTCTAATCATGCGCCCGTTTCCCACCCTAGCCCCTCGCTCCCCGGAGCCCAGCTCCTCAGCTGTGGTGTCGGCCTCACGCCTTTATGGCCCAGCCTCCACCCTTCCCGTGCTTGCCTGGGTCCCCGGCATCCAGGTGTGCTCTTTCCACCCCCTCCCGCACTGCTCTGCAGCAGTGCTGTGTAGACCCCCCACACCTGCATAGCGCTGTGCAGACCCTCTGTTCCTCAGCATCCTCTCCCCAGCCTCCACCCCCAGCCTCAGGGCTCCTTTCTAGGTGGGCGACTTTTTTTTTTTTTTTTTTTTTTTTTTTTGAGACGGAGTCTCACTCTGTCATGCAGGCTGGAGTGCAGTGGTACAATCTTAACTTACTGCAGCCTCTGCCTCCGGGTTCAAGTGACTCTCATGCCTCAGCCTCCTGAGCAGCTGGGACTACAGGCGTGTGCCACCAAGTCGGCTAATTTTTGTATTTTTAGTAGAGACGAAGCTTCACCATGTTGGCAGGCTGTTCTCGAACTCCTGAGCTCAGGTGATCCACCCGACTCAGCCTCCCAAAGTGCTGGGATTACAGGTGTGAGCCACCACACCCAGCCTGGGTGACTCTCCTCTTCCCACCTCTTTCCTTCCCTGTGCCCCGCTCCTCAGCCTCTTCTCATTACCATTCCTTCTTCTCCTCAGGCACCAGGCACTACTTAGTCCCTGCCCCCACCCAGGTCTCCACTCCAGTCACCCACACACACCTCCCCGCGCCCCCAGCCTCCTTGAACAGACACAGTGCCCCCGCTCCCGCCCCAGCCTGTGCTAGGCTTACTAGGCTGCCCCAGCTGCTGTCCCCCTCAGGAAGGGTCGCCCACCCCAGACTTGCCAATTCCCTCCCTGCCCCATCTCACTTCCAGTGCTTCAGTAGGCTTTCTTACAAACAGCTTCTTTTTTGTCACCCAGGCTGGAGTGCAGTGGCGCCATCTCGGCTCACGGCAACCTCCACCTCCGGGGTTCAAGCGATTCTCCTGCCTCAGCCTCCTGAGTAGCTGGGATTACAGTTGAGCACCAGCACACCTGGCTAATATATTTTTTTGTATTTTTAGTAGAGATGGGGTTTCACCATGTTGGTCAGGCTGGTCTCGAATTCCTGACCTCATGATCTGCCCACCTCAGCCCCGCAAAGTGCTGGGATTATAGGTGTGAGCCACCGCGCCCGGCCACTACTTCTTTCTGGTAAAGTAATACACGTTTCCTGTGGAAATTTTAAATAGTAATGTATAGAGAAGCAGGGAAAAACCATCTATGTCTTTGACCTCTCATGACCACCATATGCATGGTCTTCTAATATCTCCCTGTGACTTCTGTCACCTCGAACTGATTTCCCAAGGCCTCTGAGGGGGGAGGGAACTTTGTAAAATGCAGATTTGATTGTCTCTGTGTGTTGTCAGACACACACACCCACCCCTGCCAGCTTAAAATCCCTGACCCGGCCCCTGGTGGATGATAAACCGAAATCCTTCATGTGCAGCCCAAGCCCTTCACAGCAGCCTGAGCTCACCCTGCCCCTCCACCCCACGCCCTCCACGTGCTGCAGCCACGCTGGCCACTGGTGGGACATGCTGCATGCCAGCTCAGCCCGTGGCCTTGGTCAGAGTCCTCTCTTCTCAGGCCCTTCCTCATCTGTACAATGGGGACGGAAGTATCCAGCCGGGTCCTGAGCTCATGTAGTGCCAGGTGCAGGAGAGAGCTGGGAAAACCACAGCGAGCTCTACGGGGGGTCGGCGCCCAAGGCGTCTAAGCTGTCAACAACGTTGAGGTGGAGGGGACTAGAAGTGCTGGGATGAGGGACACGGAAATTGGGAGTAAGGAAGTTCTAAGGTGCAGGTGCCTTGCCACAGTGCTTGACCCCACGGGGCAATTAGAGGAAGAGAAGCCCGTGAATGTTGTGCTTTAAGAGCCCACGGAGGGATGGGGGCCAGGTTCCCAGGCATGCAAGGATCAAGGGCTTGGTGGCGACCTGAAGCTATGGACACCCCCTCTTCTATTAGGGCTAAGAAATCTGCCATGACTCAGTGTCCTTGTCTGTAAACGGAGCTAATAGTATGAGCTAGGGCTCATAAGCCTATCACTAAGAATTAAATATGATCTAAGTAAAGAGTGTACCCAGTGCCCGGTGCGTGGAGCTGCTTTCTTCTGCTTACTGCTATTTGTTTTCTTTGAGACTGAGTTTCGCTCTGTCCCCAGGCTGTAGTGCAGTGGCACGATCTCGGCTCACTGCAACCTCCGCTTCCCGGGTTCAAGCAATTCTCCTGTCTCAGCCTCCCAAGTAGCTGGGATTACAGGCACACGCCACCACACCAGGCTAATTTTTGTATCTTTAGTAGAGATGGAGTTTCACCATGTTGGCCAGGCTGGTCTCGAACTCCTGACCTTGTGATCCACCCGCCCTGGCCTCCCAAAGTGCTGGGATTACAGGTGTGAGCCACCGTGCCCAGCCTTTATTTATTTTTGTATTTTTGTATTTTTTTAGTAAAGATGGGGTTTCACCATGTTGACCAGACTGGTCTCAAAGGCCTGCCTTGGCCTCCCAAAGTGCTGGGATTATAGGCGTCAGCCATCACATCTGGCCCCATATGAAGAAACTTTAATCAAAGGACCACACAGAGGATTGAGGGAGCAAAACAAGGATGTCGAGGAACCCATGGACATCCCGGTGCAGGAGGCTCTGACTCCCTGGGGGAAGAGCAGTGGGGCAGGTGTTTAGTGAGTCCCAGAGGGCGGGAGCAGCAGAGCTGTTCTGTGGACGGCACAGCTTCGGCCTTTGACACTGCTCCAAGGAGGAGAGAGCAGGGAAGGAACTTCACCCCCTCCCTCTCTCACCCTGCCATAGACCCCACTGCCCAAAACCCAACCAGAGGCCAGTCAGCAAAGGAATGACCGGAGTCAGCCTCTCAGGTACAGAGCAGGGCAGAAATTAGTTCTGGGAGGGCGGGGGCAGTGGCTCATGCCTGTAATCCCAACACTTTGGGAGGCTAAGACAGGAGGAGCACTTGAGGCCAGGAATTCAAGACCAGCCTGGGCAACACAGTGAGCCCCTATCTTTTTGGAAAAAAAAAAGAAAGAAAAGAAATACAGAAATTGGTTCTCGGGCATGGAGAGACAAGTGGAAGGCAGATAGCGTACCTGTTAGGTACCAAGTGTATGTACCTTATTTATTCCTCATAACAACTTGATACCTTAAAGGAAACCATGTTGTCACAGCTGCATCCACACAACACCTAGAATAGTGCTTGGCATATGTAGGCACTCAGTCAATAATTGTTGGGTGAATGAGCTAATGAATTTGCCACTGATCAGGCCCAATCCACATGGAAACAGACACAGTGAATCTGACAGGTGAAAATAGCAATCACTACAATGGCTACCATTTGTTGCATGTGTACCGAGGGTGCTGGGCCCCGGGCTTCACGCCCTGTTGGCTTCATCTCATCATGCGCATCAGGTGCTGTAGGGCCTGTTATCCTTGTTTGCAGGTGAGACATGGAGGCCCAGAGAGAGACACGATTAGGGTCAGGAAGTGATGGAGCGGGGACTTGAACCCAAGTCTGCCTGCTACAAATTCTGCTGTCTTAGTGCTGGATTCTGTTGGCCTGCCAGGGAGCATAACCTCATGGGTATGAGCAAGCCTCCGTGAGATCATGAGAATTCTAGAAGGTGACACCTTAAAAAAAAAAAAAAAAAGAAGGTTGAATAGAGCAGTGAAGCAATGCTGGGCCTCACGTGTATCAGTAAGAATGCTTTCAGCTGCAAGGAACCAGCACTCCGATTCAAAATGGCTTAAACAATTAGGAAAGGTATTCTCTAACCAGGAAGCCTGGAAGCAGGGAGATTCCAGGGTTGGCGAATTCCGAAGCTTGAGGATATCAGGACCCAAGTTTCTTTGCATTTGGTCCTGTTGTCATTTCTATTATTATTATTATTTTTGAGAAAGGGTCTTACTCTGTCACCCAGGCTGGAGTGCAGTGATGCGATCACAGCTCACTGCCACTTCCACCTCCTGGGCTCAGGCAGCCCTTCTACCTCAGCCTCCAGAGAAGCTGGAACCACAGGCACACACCATCACACTCAGCTATGTAAAAAAAAAAAAAAAATTTTTTTTTTTTTTTTTAGTAGAGACACGGTCTCGCCATGCTGTCCAGGCTGGTCTTGACTTCCTGGGCTCAAGTAATCCTCCTGCCTGGGCCTTCTAAAGCGCAGGGATTACAGGTGTGAGCCATCACACCCGGCCCTTGTTTTGATTTGCATAAAAGGGAAGTGTAGCCAGCAAACTACACTGGTGAGCAAAACCCAGGTGAATCACGGAACCAGCCATTTGCGCACCTGTGGAAGAAGAAACGGTGATTGCAGCCAGGGCGGGTTGTTCATCACGAGCCGAGCCGGGCAGGTTGCTGGAGGCAGGGCTTGCCTTAGCTGCTGTGTTTTGTGCTGCAAGGCCTCTGAGAGAACCCCCTGGCAGCGGGGTGATCATACAGAAGTGAACGACCCTGCCCAGACCTAACCTCAGGGTGGTCTCTGGTGACTCGCCACGGCACCCTGTCTCATCTTTTGGACCTTTTTTTAAATCAGGGTGGTTCAGTTCTCACACTAGTAGCTAAGCAAGGCCAGGAGAGACAGTGAATACAATTACCGGGAGAGACCAGGTCCGTGTAGCCCTAACCCAGTGGATCTCAAAGGTAAGTGTGCAGTAGACTCACGTGGGTGCCTGCTTTGAAAATGCACATTCCGGAGTCCACACGAGAGGATTCTGGAGGGAAGCCCAGGAATATGCATTCACAATGCATGCCACAGGGGGTCTGTCCCCTGGAGGTGATGAGGTGATACAAACCAGACTTTGGAGACCGAAGCTCCAGAGGCCGAGCCTCCGGGACCGGTGGAGACACGGCCTGATGTAGGGGTCCACCGAAGGTGGGAGGAGGCTGAGGGGCCAGTTCTGACCACCAGAGCTGACCAGCGAGGGCAGACGAGTCATGAGGGAGCAGACTCCGTGACTAACTGGGGCCACCAGGAGTGCTTGCGGGGGCTGCAGCGGGGCTTACTGCACTGGGCGGAGGCTGTGTTTTAGCAGCTTCCCAGATTTCCATGTGGTTGGGGGGGTCTTTGACGTGTTTATTCCCGACTGGGAGGATAAGCCCCCTCCTCTGTTGTCACCAGGATGAGGTTGGAAGTGGCCTTGGCCGTGCGGCAGGCCAGTTGGGACTAGGAGCCTTTCCCCACCCTGCCCGCCTCCCCCGAAGGCCGGGTGTCCCTGTGGCAGCTAACGTTTCACTTCTTCTTCCTCCCCTCCCCTCCCCTCCCCCACCCCTGTCCCCCGTCTGCCCGGCCTGGGCGCGGCCTCTCCTGCGCTTCTCTGGTCACTCTGCTTCTCTCTCTGCTCTCAGTAACTGTGGACTTGCCCTCTGGCTCTGACCGCCCAGGCCCTCTGTCCCACCTCTTGCTCCCTCCCCACATCTCGTTTCTGCCCCTGCCCCTCCCCATTCAGGGGACCCCTCTGTCCAGATGCCCCTCTGGCTTCTTCCTTTTGCAGTTAATTTCCTTGGATTTGTGGAGGTTTTCCACTTTTAAAGCTTCAGCTGGGGGCCAGCATGGAGGCGCTCCCTTCCGCTCTCTGACCCCTGACCCCTGTTTTTGTTCCAGGCCACTAAACCATCTAAAGAGATGAGCGGGTCGAATGAGACCTCGAGCCCAGTCTCAGAAAAGCCCTCGGCTTCCAGAACCTCTATCCCCGTATTGACTTCCTTTGGGGCAAGGAATTCTTCCATCTCCTTCTAGAAGCCCCTCACCCGCCACCCTGCCTGTCCCCCTCCCTTCCTCCTGCCATTTCTCCCCTGTCTTCCCTTCATCTCAGCCCCATCCCACTCTCCAGACCCCCAGCGGTGTGCCCTGCTGAGGAGGGGCTGCCCTCCCCAGTTCCCTCTACCATCCTCTGTTGGTGTTTTTGGTTTTTTTTTTTTTTTTTTTTTAACGGTTCACTTTTAATTCTCTTTTTTTAAACAGTAAAACTAAAAACCAAACACACCACCTTCCTTGATGGTTCCCAGCTGGCCTCTCATTGGCTGCACCTGTCATGTCTCTCCCTCTTCTCTTTCACCACTCTCCCCGCTCCGAGTCCATCCTGAAGCTCCTGCACCCCCTTCCTGCCTTCCCCTCGCTTCCTAAGAATACTCCAAACAAACTGAGCCACGGAGACTGGGAGCAGTGGGAGACCCTCTCCCCTTTCTTGGTACCTACCTGGAGGAACTGGGGGATCATCGGACCAACCCCTACATCAGGCCGGAGAGCGGGGCGCAGGGAGGCTGACCTTGGAGACGCCCCATTCTCTGTCCCAGCTCGGACAAGACTGTGACCTCTGTGGCTGCTCTGTGCCCTCCTACTCACACCCTGGTGGGCCTGAAGTCCAGACGGACGGGCTGGAGGAGGGGCTGAAGCTTGAGAGGCCTCAGGGTGGGTGTGAGGTCAGTCGTGGAGTCTGTGTCCCTGCGGAGGTGCTGGCCTCCCGGGTCTCGCCGTCCCGTGGGGAGTGGAGGACGGAGGCCCTTTGGACCACTGGCTGTGAAGGGTGGGTCACAAGGACAGCTGGACATCAGGGACACTGCCTTGGGAGAGGGTGCCCCGGACGGGTATTTGGTACTTTTAGTTTCCTGATTTAGCACTTTAAATGGCATTAACTTATTTAAGGGGGGTGGGGCGGGCAAGAACAAGGGACCTAGAAAACCAGGTTTTGTGGCCCGCAGGTTGGGGAAGGGTCCGGTATGGGGGGAATGGGAGAGTCAGAGGGGCTTGACAGGGAGCAGTGAAGACAACTGGGACCCAAAGGTGGGGTGACCTGACCTTCAGGCGTCCTCTTTGTGATTTGAGGGTTTTCTGGGAAAGGGTGGGATGTAGTTTTTCAGTGGGGCTCTGGTGACCCTGGTGAGATGTCTGAAGGTCCCTGAGGCCTGATCGTCCAGCCAGTGCCCCCGGCCTGTGGACGCGGTCGGCAGTGCCACCTGGCTTTTGGCCAGGTCTTGGGGAGCCAGAGAGAGAGGCCACTTCTGGTTCTCACTCCTGGCCCCCCAGAGGGCACAGTGAAGAGCCAGCAGGGACATGATGGGAGAGGAGGTGGAGGAGGAGCGGGGTCCCTGGCAGCGGGATTCCCCCTTGGAGCACAAATCGAAGCAAGCACAGGGGAGGGACTGGAGTGGGTCCCCACAGCAAGCACAGAGAGGAGGAGCCGGGGAGGCAGAGCCCCAGCCCCTGGGGCCTGGCTGGGGAAGGTCCGAGCTTGGGGAGCTGGGAGCGGTTGAAGGTCTGGGGGGGAGGGGAAGGGGAAACGCGTTGTGTTTCTTCATTTCGTTTCTTTTCTTGGTTTTGCCTTTGTTGGTTCATCCTTGTTTTCTAGCTTTGGATCATTTTTGTACCAAGGCGAGCAAGCCTTTTTGAAAAATAACAAAAGAGGAAAAAAAAAAATCCCTCCTGAAAAAAAAAAAAAAAACCCTGGAAAATAGGAAAAAAAGGACCTCATAAATGATGCAATTACTTTTAATTGCAGGCAACTCTTTACATTTAAGTGAAGTGTCTTAACATTTTATATTGTTTTAAAAATATATTTACATATTATATATATAATATACGTACTATAAATATATATAAATATTTAAAAAAGAAAAAAAAAAACCACGGCACTCTCTCCCTGGCCGCTGTTTTGGCGGGGGAGGGGGTCTGGGGGGCAGGCACGTCGGCCTGGCTTCTGTCCTCCGGGTGAAACGGTCTGGTTTGATTTGGCTGTACAGAGACCCCCTGGCTTGGGAGGGGAGGGGGGAGTGGTGCCCCCTCCTCCCTCCGCTCATTACTCTGCTTGCTACTTCGCTTGCCCGCAGCTCCCACCCTCAGCCCTGTGACTGGAATGTGTGCCCCACCGTCATTGTCCTGAGTTGAATGTCCCTTTGTGGGGGAGGTGGGGGGGGCAGTGTCCATCCATGAAGGGGCAGAAGGAGGGAGCCACGGGCCCCGCCCCGCCCACCTGGGGGAAGCCCAGTGGGTTTGCATCTTTCTTTCCCTTCAGTTTTGGCACATTTACGGGCTGGGAGGCACCCGTGTGGAATCACGTGCGGCCTGCGTGTGTGCAGATGCATGGGGCCTGCATCAGCAGGCGTGGCCGAGCACTCGTGTGGGGGAGGCGTGTGCACATCAGTGCATGTAACCTGTTTGGGCATTGGCACGTGCCTACCTGCATGTTAGCGTGAGAGGAGCTTCGTGTGTGAGAACAGGTGATGTGTGCGCAGACACGCCTAGCGCCGGAGACATGTTCGTGGGCCACATACATGTAGACAGAGGCTCGTACAGAGAGGTGCATGTGATCTGTGTCTGCCAGTGTGTGTGTGCACGGGTGTGTGCTGGTGCAGACCCAGGCGTGTGGGTGTGCCTCTGTGTGCGTGTGTGCACATGTGTTCCATCATCCCTGCACTGCTGGCTCCAGCTCCCTTCCCAAGCCCCCGTCCCCGCTGGCCCTCTCACAGCCCGCAGCACGTCAGTGCCCCCAGCTGCATGCGCCTCGCTGCCCTGTCCATCAGTGTGTGCTTGACCAAGAGACAACAAAGACGTCTGGGGGGACCCCTGTACCTGATCCTCTCAGCCTCCGCCCACTGTGCTGTGTTACTCGCATGGGGGGTTTCTCTCCTGCTCCTTCCACAATATGCTGTTTCCCCTGGAGCCTCAGGCCCGAGGCTCTGAGTGGGGTCCCCAGGGGCCCCCACTGGGGTGAGCCCCGGCTCCACACCCTGCCCCGTCCACCCTGTAGGGCCCGTGTTGGTGTAGCAGTGATGGCTTCTGTGGATATTCTGTGACCTCTGTCAGTGTAACTTGACAATTTCTAAATGGAAAAGGGTTGCTGTGTTTTCTCTGTCTCTCTTTTTTAATGTCCTTTTTTCTTCTCCTCACCTCCCTGCTCTCTTTCCTTTTCAGTTTTTCTAGCCAAGTGTTTGGGGCTTTAATAAAACTTGTTTCTTTTTCCTCTCCTGGATCTCCTTCCTACAGACTGATGTCTCATTATTTCTCAGCTTCACCCTGGAGGGTCTGGAAGGTGCTGGAATGGGCAGGGTGGCAGGTGGGAAATCCCTGGCAGCCATTGGCCCTGACCCTTCAGCCGGCAGGGCATGAAGGGGAAGACAGAACAGGGCCCCTGGGACTATCCGGGCGTGGCGGCAGGCACCTGTAGTCCCGGCTACTCAGGTGTCTGAGGCATGAGAATCTCTTGAACCCAGGAGGTGGAAGTTGCAGTGAGCCAAGATTGTGCCACTGCACTCCAACCTGGGTGACAGAGTTTTGAGACCCTATCTCAAAAAACAAAAACAAACCAAAAAACCAGCTCTCAGCTTGGCACTCCAGGAGATGCCCTGCCTAACCCTCACGACCATTGGTGAGGTAGCTGTGGGCACCACCTACTCAGTCAAATGACAGAGCTCAGCGATCTGGGCATCTGAGCCAGGGTCATGCAACTGGTGGCTGTAGATACATCAGTAAGTTTGAATCCAGCTCTGCCTGACGCCAAAGCCAGTGGTTACCCCCAAAACCAAGCAGGGCTGATGGCCTCCAGCAGTCTCCTGAATTGGGTCTCGGCCTCCTGTCCTTTGGGTGGGGTGACCCTTGGTGGGGTCTACCCATCTTTTGTTTCTTTTATGGAGGGACGGGGTCTCTGCCACCCAGGCTGGAGTGTGTGATCACAGCTCGCCATAGTCTCAACTTCCCTGGGCTCCAGTAATCCTCCCACCTCAGGCTCCCAAGTAGCTGAGACTACAGGTGCCCGCCACCACACCTGGCTACACTTTTTTGTATTTTTAGTAGAGATGAGGTTTCGCCATGTTGCCCAGGCTGGTCTCGAACTCCTGAGCTCTAGAGATCCACCAGCCTCGGCCTCTCAAAGTGCTGGGATTACAGGTGTGAGCCACCGCGCCCACCACGCCCGTCTTTTCTAGAGCAGCAGCTTTGGAACCTGTAAAGTGGTAACAATACAAAATGCATTTGACACCTCTGTGCACGTGTGCAAACAGCCACAGCAGAGCAGCACCTGCTGCACGCACAGCAGCATGGAGTGGGTTTCACAGGCCTTCCTGGAATTCTGAAGGCTGTGCTACTGTTCCAGCATGTTCTAAGCATCCCCGAGGCTGCCCTTCCAGCCGTCTTCGTGGTTGAGGGCTGCCATGTTACTGACTCTCTTCCCCTCTCAGCATCACTTCACTTCCATCCCTGAAGGTCATATCTGTGTCTGGAGCCAGTCTTCTAGTCATCACAGGGGCCCCAGCTGCCCTTGCTTCTCCTAAAGGCCTCTTTGGAGATAGAGGGCAGCAACCTGCCATCTATCTGTCTGCAGGGACTGCCCCTCCATGAGTCACCCACCCACCAAAGCCCACAATCCTTGAGACTCACAGAAAGCCAGTCCTCACCCTGCCCGTAGCCCACCCTGCATCTTTTTTAGAATGTCAGTCGATCTTGCCTTCTCTCTGCCATCCTATTCCCAAAAAAAAACAGAGAGAGGAGCCAAAAACCCCCGCTCCGAATCGCTGTACCCACTGACAGTTCAAGATCAAGTAACGGAAACATCCGCCACCCACCCGGAAGGAGGCTGGCGCTCGTTGTGTCTGGCAGGGGAGCCACCTGGACAGCCAGCAGACAGAACATAGACACCCGGGCTCAACCGGGGCAGGCGCTGGGAGGGCACGGGAAAGAGACCTGTGGCAGGTGTGGCGGGGAGTAGCAGGTCGGTCGCATCTGAGGGGAGACCTTGTGGGTGAAGAGTGGGCTTTGGGGACACTGGTGGCTGAGGGTCCCAGGCGCAAGGCCCTGGGTGGAACACAATCTGTGGGTTCTGGAAAATGTTGGAAACCCAAGAAGAGTGAGGCGGGGAAAGCGCAGTGTGGGTAGAAGCCCCTCACGTGAGGCCTTGTCGGCTGCAGTAAGGAAGGTGCCATGGAAAACAACAGGAGGGTTTTAAGAAAGTGTTGTGAACTGACTTGTTTCAGAAGTTGTCTCTGACTAGGCCGGGCGCAGTGGCTCACGCCTGTAAACCCAACACTTTGGGAGACTGAGTGGGGTGGATCACCTGAGGCCAGAAGTTCAGGACCAGCCTGGCCAACATGGTGAAACCCCATTTCTACTAAAAATACAAAAATTGGCTGGGCATGGTAATGGGTACCTGGAATCCCAGCTACTCGAGAGGCTGAGGCAGGAGAATCGCTTGAACCTGGGAAGCGGAGGTTGCAGTGAGCCGAGATCGTACCAGTGCACTCCAGCCTGGGAGAGGGAGAAAGACTCTGTCTCTTAAAAAAGTTACCTCTGGCTGCTTTGTGGGTGAAAGCAGAGTGATTATTTAGGATGTGCCACGTGCAGATGACAGCTGCCTGGACTCATGCAAGCCTAACAACCCAATGGCTGAGGGAAGGGGAAAATATGTATCAGAGACTTTGTAGCTTCAGAGTGCTGGAGCCAGAATTGATCCAGGACTTAGTTGAGCAAGATGGCTCACGCCTGTCATCCTAGCACTTTGGGGAGCCAAGGCGGGCAGATCGCTTGAGCTCGGGTTGGAGACCAACATGGCGAAATCCCATCTCTACAAAAAATACAAGAATTAGCCAGACGTGGTCGTGAGTGCCTGTAGTCACTCGGGAGGCTGAGGTGGGAGGATCGGTTGAGCTGGGGAGGCTGATGCTGCAGTGATCCGTGATTGTGCCACTGCACTCCAGGCTGAGTGACGGAGCAAGACCCTGTCTCAAAAATGAAAAATCCGGTACTTACCATTCCTAATCGCCGTACCTTATGTTTTACAATACTAATTGCTAACATTTATGGAGTGTCATTTAATCTTCTAACAACCCAGACAATAGGTATTATTACCTCCATGCTACCGGTGGAGAAGGCTGACTCCAGCCAAGATTTGAGCGAGATCTGGCTGGCTACAGAGCTCAGGTTCCTCATGGAGAGGAGGCAGGGGCTACTTGACGCTAGTGGTCTGGGGAAGCCCTCAGCTTTTCTCCCTCACTGTCTGTACATCCTCTCTGGGCCCCCTGGGCATTTTCTGACTGTTTGATCACTGAGTGGCTTAAGGGGTCCCTGAGCTCACAGGGTGACAGAGCACGACCTACAGGATGGGGGCCTGGGGCTGGTGGCATCTGTGCCCCTTAACTGGGAACGGGCTCCCTCAAAGCTCACTGGTGCTGACTGATGCCACCCGTAATGGCAGGGGCCTCCCTCCCTCCCTCCCTCCCCTTTGTCTTCCGGAAATCTTCACTCAAAACCCTGGTCTCTGCTTGAGTTCAGGGTGACAATCATCCTACCTCTCCATGCCCATACTCGAAGCACAGGGGAAAATCCCTACTGCTTTCACTTAAACCCTGATAGATTTGAAGTTTTCCCAAAGAAATGTTTCCTATGAAATATATCGCACCCCACTGGATAGGTAGAGGAAGTTTTCGTGTATTTATCTTATTTTTTTGAGACCAGGTCTTGCTCTGTCACCCACACTGGAGTTCAGTGGTGCCAGCATAGCTCACTGCAACCTCAAACTCCTGGACACAAGCGATCCTTTGGCCCCAGCCTCCTAAGTAGCTGGGACTACAGGTACAAGTCACAACCCCTGGCTAAGTTTTCAATTTTTGTAGAGACAGAGTTGCCAAGGCTGGTCTTGAACTCCTAGGCTCAAGTGATCCTCCTGCCTTGCCTCCCAAAGTGTTGGAATTACAGGCGTGAGCCAGCAAGTGTGGCCTGGAGCAAGTTTTAGAGCACATTTTATTGTTTGTATGGCTCTTTTTTTTTTTTTTTTTTTTTTTTTTTGAGACAGAGTCTCACTGTGCTGCCCAGGCTGGAGGGCGGTGGCCCAATCTCAGTTCACTGAAACCTCCACCTCCTGGATTCAAGTGATTCTTCTGCCTCAGCCTCCTGAGTAGGTGGGACTACAGGTCAGGCTGGTCTTGAACTCACCATGCCCAGCTAATTACTGTGTTTTTAGAAGAGATGAGATTTCGCCATGTGGGCCAGGCTGGTCTTGAACTCCTAACCTCAAGTGATCTGCCTGCCTCAGCCTCCCAGAGTGTTGGGATTACAGGCATGAGCCACCATGCCTGGCCTGTTACAGCTTTTTAAAATTTTTTATTTGTTTTTTTTCAGACAGGGTCCTCTCTGTCACCAGGGTTAGAATGCAGTGGCACTATCTTGGCTCACTGCAGCCTCGGCCTCCTGGATTCAAGCAAACTCTCCACCTCAGCCTCCAGAATAGCTAGGACTACAGCTACGTACAACCATGCCTGGTCAATTTTATTTTTCTGTAGAGCCGAGGTCTCATTATATTGCCCAGGCTGGTCTCAAACTACTGGACTCATGTGATCTTCCTGCTTCCACCTCCCAAAGTGCCAGGATTACAGACATGAGCCACCATATTCAGCCTGTTACAGCTTTATTGAGATATATTTCACATATTACAAAATGCACCCATTTAAAGTCTACAGTTCAGTGATTATTGGTATATTCACAGATATACGTGACCATCGCCACAGTCTAATTTTAGATTATTTCAGCTCCTCAAACCTTGACCCCTTGGCAGTCATTCCCCGTTCCTGCACCTCCTCTCTGCCACCTGCCTCCTCACCCCAGCCCGCAGCCCTAGGTAATTAGTCACTTACTTCCTGTCTGTGTGGGTTTTCCCACTGCAGACACTTCCCACAGATGGAATTATACTACATGCAGTCTTCTGTGAACCTTCTTTCTAGCATAATGGTTTAGAAATTCCTCTATATTGTAGCATGTTATCAGTACTGATCCAGAGCAGGCAAGTCCCCAAATTGGGATTTAGCAGGGGAGGATTCTTGGCTTTGTCCAGGAAATAATTCAAGGGTGAGCCAGTGGTGGTAGCAACTTTTGAGGAAGCGGCCGTGCACGGCAGCAGAGGGCTGTTTCTGGCGCAGCGGGGCTACACCGTGGTCAGAGCGCTCAGAGTAGCAGCGTAGAGGCAGGTCTGCGCCCATGTTTATGCCCTTCTTTTA